GGAATAACTAGAGAAGTTCTAGAAGATTTGAGTGAGCACTTCTATTTTGTCTTATACAAAAGTCTAGATTCCAAGAGAAAAGACTTTTGAACTTCATGTTTAGTTTTGATTGGTTTGATTAAAGTAAGGAGTACTCTATTGGTTAGATTTAGTTTAATGTTGACTTAGTGGAAAATGGAAGTTCTAGAAGTTGGAAAGGCACAAATGGCATGTCGCCACCTGAATCTAGGGATTAGTAAACATCTAGAAGGTTTAGGAGGCCAATGGCATGTTGCCACATATTGATAACTTGTCAATCTTACTATGGTTTATCTTTGTAAAAGTAAGTTAGAAATAAATTACCATTTGTTACTATGGTAAATTTTGAGTTAGTATATAGAGAGAGGTAGGGAAGAGACTCTCAAGCAAGTTTGGAGAGTTCATATGTAGAGACTTGTTTCATATATGAAAGAGTGACGAATTTTCAGTATCTTGGAATGTCGATGAGTGTGTGAGTTGGAGTAATACCTTGAGAGATTGTGTGAGAGTATGTTTGGACTATGTGTATGATGCGGAATGCTAGTATTCTAGAACCATGATGAGCTACCGAAAAGCCATCTGAGGTAAACCCGAGTGAGAGTCAGCCCGGAGGTTGCGATACCTTTTGTGTTATGTTATGATTTCTAGTTGTGATACCTTTGTGTGTGTACATTCTCGTTCCTTATGTATGTATGTGTGAGTGATGAGTAGAGCATGTCAGCGATGTATGATGTATGGCGATACTGAATCGCACGACAGTGCATTCATGGATTTGACGAACTACTACCGGAGGTATATAAAGTGGTTTAGTGTTATAGCCAAATCTTTGAACCAGTTGTTGAAATCAGATCAGGAATGGCATTGTGTAGATGAATAGGAGAGAGCTTTTGTTGGTAGGTTCAAGTCTAGGTTGATGACTTCTCCCATCTTGAGAAGATTCATTGGAGCTCGTTCATATCAATTGCACACTGATTGGAGTATGTTGGAACTTGAAGCAATGTTGACATAGCGCGATGATGAGGGCAAGTAATTTTTGATTGCGTATGCTAGTCTTTCAAACAATGCCGTGAAGTCGCGGTGTAGTTCGTACGAGGAAGAGTGTTTGGGAGCAGTGTGAGCTATGGCACGCTTTAGATGTTACTTATTTGGTACGCAGTTTACCCTTGTCATTGATTATCAGCAGTTCAAGTGGTTGATGGAGTCTAACAAACTCACATGGAAATTTGCACGATGGGCTCTCATATTACCCGAATATGACTTTCATGTAGTGCATAGACTTGGAGTTGCGAACCTTGATGCCGATGGTTTGAGTCGGAATCCTTGCACTAGCCAGCAGGATGATACTGGAGCTAGATGGCATGGTGAGGTGGATGAGGAAATGATGCCTGGTTGGCATGCATCTGACTTCCTGTGTTTGTTGCGTGGAGATTCTAGTAGGGAGGATCACTTGACATCTTACTTTAGTCAAAGAATGGATGATAAATCTTCAGATCATGAGGTTGACAATGATGCTACGGATCAGCGTGATATTCACGATGATGCCTTAGTATTGGAGTTCCTACGGACTAGTATGGTGCCATGCATAGTGGGTGTCAACGAGCGAGATCGTATTCTCCAACGGACGAAGAGATACAGACTGGAGGGAGCACATGTTCTTCGAATGTGGGAGGACAGTGTGATACGACTAGTATTGCTTCCAGCTCAAAGGGCGCGCATCGTGCGACATGCTCATGAGGAGCTGGAACATTTTGAAGTGAAGCGTACATACAACTTACTCCTTGGTCAGTATTGGTGGTGTGGTATGCATATTAAAGTACAACATTTGATATCACATTGCATGGTTTTTGTGATCGGATGAGTGCATCGTTCAATGCTTCAACACCAGAGTTATATCCATTATCTATCATGGGGTTGGGTTATCGTTGGAGTTTGAACTTTGATGGAACATTACTTTTGATTGTAAACATCAGTATGTATTGATCATGATAGAGCATTTTTCCAAGTGGATTGAGTTGATGGCACTACCCGACGAGGCGAGTGAAGTAACATTGTATGCCTTCGTTGACAAAATGCTTAGTCACTTTGGTGCACCAACTTAGCTGTTGACCGATCAGGATACAGAGTTTCAAGTCTTGTGTGACAAAGCTTTGATTGATTATCAAATCACGTCTCAAGATCATTTGGAGACGGAAGGTTTGGCTCAATGTGTTGTACAGACGATGAAGAAAGCGTTGTGCAAGCATGGCCTACAGCAGAGACATCGTGGGGATTGGAATATTAAGTTACCATGGTTGGCCATGGAATATTGGTTAAGTTGTCAAGCATCCTTGGCTTCCTTCTCACCATATTTTCTGTTGTACGGTCGAGATCCAGACCTGCCAACATCAATTCGTCATGAGTTTATCGATGTGATGAACCTTAATGATCCGAACATGTGGGTGAGAGTGTATTTTCAACGTGCAAAGCTCTTTCAAAGAGTTATGCTTGCAGCGTTTGAGAATCTCGCGATTGCGGTACGCAATCATCCGGGGAGGAGGTTATCGACCATCGATTTGTAGATTTCATGTTGAGGACTACGTATATTTATAGCAGACTGCATCAAAAACATTGGATGTGACGGCGGGAAGCACTATCTTGCGAATGCGGGAGGTGTTATCTTCTTGAATTCTTATGTTGGAGGATCATGACAATGTTGTGTGGAAAGATCATGTGCGCAACTGTGCGCCATGCCACCTCCAGGACGTGAATGGTACAATAAAAACAAGCTTGGCAATAGTACATGCTAGCTTGAGGTGCATGCAATGTGGGTCAGCTGGTCATGAAGCTCATATGTTGGTGTGTGATAGATGTTCTAGGGAATGGCACATGTCGTGCCTGACTCCACAAATCGATGTTGTTCCGGTTGGACAATGGGTTTGATCTCGATGTTTCTTGGAGGGGTAGATGACTTGATCTTCACATGTTACGAATTGCAGATATGCAACTAACAATGGGGCAACATAACATCTGGTCTATTGGTTCGCGCATCCATGAATGTGTATAGCATGTAATTGTAAATAGGGCTACTTGGAAGTCAGAGGGACCTGACCGAGTTGTGATACATTTGAATGTGTATGCTCTTGTGTTCTATGTGTGTGTGTGAATAGCATGTCAGCACTATAGAGTGTATGGTGATACATATTCGCACAACAGTTGTCATGTCTTTCCGTACTTAATATTTTTAGCTGTTGACCTAGAGTTACGAGTTGAAGAGGTTATAGAATTAAGAGACTCGAAGAATGTTCAATTCTTTGAGTCAAGACTTTAGCGTTGGGATAAGCGAGTGTCCGTAAACGTTTACCTGGAATCTCTATCGACTGGGTTGGACTTGATTGTATGTGAACTATTGTGTTTGCCAGTGGGGTAATCGCGTCTTTATTCAGTTGTAATACATTTGAATGACCACGCTCTCGTGTCTTGTGTGTGTGTAACATGTTAGCGATATAGAGTGTATAGCGATACATATTTGCACGACAAACTTTATATGTATTACAAATATGGATGTAAACTCTTTATTCATGAATTTTCTTATAAGAAGTATCTATTATGACATGTGGCAAAAGCCACAACCTCTGTAGTGGATGGATTTGCAAATAAGAAGACTATATTCACTTTGATGTGCTAATAAGAGTCTGATGAGTTTGGAGGAAAATAAAAAAAGAAATTCTAGATGGCCTTCATATTAATATGAACATATATTGGTTTGCTGAGCTAGAACAAAAATTGTCATACATAGTACATACTCAAGAGAAAGCAATATCAATCTACAAGAATTAACAAAAAATGACGAGTCAAGATAACATATTAAGTTTATTTTTTATTTGAGAAAATTATTTATCTCATTGTAACAATAATTTCTAACTGGTAACTATCAAATTTCATTTCATCCAAAGATGTGAGTCTCCAAATTCTAAAAATTGTTACTTTATATATATGATGCTAGTTATAGTGTGAGTGTTTATAGACTCCAAACTCTAAAGTGAATATGAAACCCTCTGAACCCGTGACGAAGTAACTACGAGTGGGAATCGTTCGCTGGCAAGATACCCTTCCGCAGTTTCTCCCCGAAGCCTACTCCTTGTCTAAACAATCCATAGATCTCCAGATTCGAACAGGTGCGGAAGCGTTAACTTCAGCTCGAAGTCCAGAATCGGCCCCTTGTACTCCGACTAACAACAATTATAATCCTCCCCCGCATCATTCGAATGTCGTTTTCAGAGGAGCCCCGTAAATCAGAGCGACCTGTAGAGCCAGAGGAGAACGATTGCTAGTCAGCCCGGGCGACCCATCCTAAACTCATTTTTTTTTAATCGCTCATTAATCCTAGCAACGTAACGCGATCCGACTACTCTACATATATAGTTCCTTGGGATCATTTCCTCGTGTTTCTCTTACATCGCCCAAGGATTCTCTTCGTTGAGGTTGCGCATGGCTATTTTGTCAAGAGAGACCTGGCTCAGCCAAAATCCGCAGCTTCAACAGCCTGGTTTTGTACGGAGACATATTTGAGCCGACCTGTCCATAAACTCCCAGCTAGCTTGTAACGGGGAAACCATGCACTGTGCTCGTCCTGTTTCCTATCTGAGGGTTTGAGTTCTCATAAAGGTTTACTGAAACTGAGTTTGAGTTTACTCAAACTCATAAATCTCCATACATTTCTCATGCAACCACGGTGTTTGGACCTCTGCCAAAAGCTCAACGAGCCAATTGCGACGTCCAATATGACACTTATTCTTAGAGCTAGGATGTGACACAGGTGATGCGTTCACAATGCTCTACGTGGATGCGACAGAGCTTTACTAGACAGATGCAGTCCCGTTGGTTTACTTGACACAATCGGAATTGCCTACACTGTCAATTCATACTAGAACATCGTTGATTCGGTCCATCGTGTACAACGAAATTTGTTGGTTCCCACTAAGCGATTTGTGTTAGGATGGATCGCATCAAATAATTGACCACTTTTTATTTCATACTATGGTGGCAGATCAGGTCTTCCATTTTCTTCTACATTTCTTGGTACACTCCTCGCTTGGAGGATTTCGGTTTAACAATGAGAGAGTTCAAGATGGAGCCAATGACATGCGATCAGTTTACACAATGGAAAATCTGCCGGATCCTAAAGGCCAAGTAGCCGATGGACATGGTAGATTATTGCTGCGAGCTGATACATGCCGAGGACAATACTGGGAACACCGGTGGGTGCAATATACCCGAAAAACATAAGATTACAAAAGTGAGATGAAGGGAACCGTAAATTTGAATGCACGAGCAGGGAAGAGCGAATTTGGAGACCTGAAAATGTCTCGAGTGCAATGACAACTGGGAAGAATTACAGTAATTTTGACATGTGCTCCATCGTCTTAGAATGTTGTGTGGTCGAATCTGATTCCATCTACTCATCGGTGAAGTTCGCTAAATTAAGCCGAGACAAAAGGGGTTCGACAAAAGGCGATTGAGAGGTGGATGGCAGTCTTGGACCATAGACTTGTACTCAGGAGACATTGCCCTCGACACGGAGGAATGTGAATTTATGACGAATTGTGACCACTTTGGTGACTATCTGTCCTTCCCTGCTGCCTTAATTGTGCACTTGTAGACGTGAACCGTCTGGAACTCATCGGTCGATGAATGTGCGCTGGGCAGCACTCCTCACCTCTCTCCCCAGAACTGACTTTTCCGATGGTTTCAACTTCCTTACGCAGTGAAATCACGTCAAAGGTTTGGGGTTCAGGGTTTATGGCGGATCTACATTGCTCTCGCGATCGCAGGCCACCGAATCCTGGAATCCGGAGTGACACCGAAGCGGGCAGATATTAAGCACCTCATGCGAATCAACCTCGAGCCGTAGTGTCAGATCTCGAGTCGAAATTCTACTCGTGCTGCCTGACCCTCATCTTGTAAGTGAGAACCGGTCTCATGAGAGCCACAACGCTGCAGAGATTTGCGGAGACGAGGTCGGCGATGACGCAGGCGGCGTCTTTGTAAGCCTCAGGCCTCTCCTCGAAGAGCAGAGCTTTGTCCTCACAAACGACTCTCGAACCCAAAGAGGTGGTGGTCAGATCGGCAGCTAATTGACGTGCGGATTTCTGATCCCCCGTACCTCCTCCTCCTCCTCCTGCTCCACTCTTGGCGGACGACCGAGCCACGGATCGTGCCAAAGCTCTTCCGGCACCGTGAGCCAGAGACCAGCCGCTGCTCAGCAACTCAACTTGCTCCCGGGGCTTCACCAGATAGCTGAAAGCTCCTCGAGAGCCGGGGATCAGCACCAATCCCTTATCGGTGGGTGCAGCTCCCTTCCTGTGCAGCCATAGGCTCGTCCTGCCGGAACCTTCTGCCAAGCTAGCGACCTAATTGCACCAACAAACCAGTCACTAGGAGCGCATCAGGGAGGTAAGGTCTCGAAAATGAGTTAGATACAGCACCGATATTATGAGTCATCGCTACCAATTGAAGCGTTTGGCACCGTGTGTTCAGTCATTTGGGGATTCGGAAGGAGCTTGTGGTACTGGTGATGTTTCGAGGCAGCTGGAATCAATTCAACTTACGGTGTGGGCAGTTCTTACTTGCGGGGAATCCGAGGACCGGATCTCGACCACGTTGTTGTGAGTGATGTCGAGTAGAGTTTCCTTACAGCTGCCTTGTAACTGCTCTAGCAATCTCCGGGCTATGATCCGTCTGTTGACTTGGGCCCATTTGCAGGCCTGGTCGTGAGCAGCCAAATAAGTTCGACCCTCGGGTGACTCCTGCGGGAATTCAGAACTCAAAAGTTTAGAGAGCATCAATTGTCCATGCTTCCTTCCATTTGGTACCTTGATTTCATCTCTGTTCACCATCTCACTCGATAAAAGAGGAGCAAATTCTACTGACCACAGATAAACCATCTGAGCCGAATTGCCTTGAATGTGCTTGAAGAATGCTTTCCCCAAACCCTCGTGATCCTGAATGGACGCAGAGATAGACATCGTCGGCCGTCAAACCGATCTCGGCTCCTTGTTCTGCATCTTCGATTCTCTCTACGACCTGCAAAGCAAAACATATTGATACTCAGCTTTGCATGTGTTTTGCTGTTGTCTGCTTGAGTTCCGACACATGAAGCAAAATGTTTCCAAAAGCCCAAGAAGGAAGCACTAGATTACCTGCAACTCAGCAAAGTGATTACCCCGACCGATAGTTCCTAATGAACCTTCATCGAATGATGTTTCCTTCACTCCAGCTTCTGCTAGTGTACCTGTGTGAAAATTGAATAGTCCATATCTTTGTCATGTCGGTTAAATGATGACTATGGGTGCAAAGCTGTCACTCAGGAATCAGTAATAGGTCTGAACATAGTGATAAGCTTGCAGTACCTGAAATATCACCATCCCAAGGGCCTTCAATTCTGACAATGTCGGCCCAACGATCTAGACACCGATGTTTGCTGGCGGCAGAAGCTTTCAAACTTGTCCTTACCAGCATAATACCACAGCCGATATCCGAGCCAACAAGCGTTGGATAGATGACTCCCTGAGTGGCAATCGCAGCACCGATGGGGCAAGAAGTGCCCACATGCAGATCTGGAAGCCCCACTGCCAACACCACTCCGTTCAAAGAAGCGGCCCACTTCAGCTGCTTCTCAGCCTGAGCTCCAACAAAGCTCTCCTTCGCCACGATGACCACCTGGCCACATCCGGGAGTACTCGAGCTCGTACTTTCTTCCTGCCCCTCGTGCCTCAAATCTGACCCACATCATTCACTCATGTCATTTGACTGTCCTCTCCTGGTGGCCCTCCATATGATGCATTCTATGTTTCAAACACAAGCTGTGAGAAAGGTCCACTTCAAAGGTCATGGCATAACTCCAAGGAACCTTCGGGTTCAGGACTTTGAATCATGAGAGAACTAGCACAGACGGTTGTTACTTTTATGAATTCTTGACTTCGAGAAATGTGTCGTGGTTATCAGCATTGCTTGCATACCATCAGCTAATGAGGTCTAACCAGAAAATCAAATGCTGCAGTGAGGAACTTTAACCTGAGGTCTTGTCTGCGACACATGATTCCTCTCCTGCTGAGACGAAGAATGTGCCACCACTTCTGATTTTTGCTTCGGCAGAGGCCTTGTCTGCCTCCCGGAGCTCAGCTCCGCGTTCATCGAAGAGCCTTAAGTTGGACAGAGAAATTCGCAACTTATTGGCAGCCACCTTCTGAACCTCTTTCAGAAGACCTCTTCCAGCTCCTGGCCCTCCCACGACCACGGTTCGAGAGTCGGTGTGCTTCACATTGCGCACCAACTTGAGGACAATCTTCTCCGTCCCACCATCTGTTTCTGCTCCCCGCGCTCGCTGCAAGTCCATCTTATCTCGATCTTCTGGTAGTATCCTCCACTCCTGGAGACCAGAAATTCGGTGCTGCTGGTTCCAAAGCAAACGGCCCTGAAACGTCTTGTCGACCCAAAAGCCTGCTAATCTCCTTCTCTTGCTTACGTCAAAGCCGATATGGGCCCCCGAATGGTTGCAGGGTTTGGGGTTTTCTTCAGTTCGTCCAATATCTGAAACCTGGCAGAACATGGACATAAATCCATAAGTTACTTGCTCTGTACGTTTGGTGTGCTGAAGCTGGGATGCAAACTTGTCTGTCACTTTCCTGTTTAGATGACAAAGACAGGATGATCCAGATCAAGATTACTCATTTACCTATTCACACAGAGGATATTTCCATCTGCCACGCCTGACGTTCAGGCATACCACTTGCTGCACAATCTTACGTCTGTTGCTTGACGGTCACGATACCTTGTTGGTAGAAGTACTGGCTTTGCCTTCTTCAAACTGATCTGTGTGTGATTCAAGTAACGTGCAATATAAATTTCACCGCATGCCACTTGTGTGTTGGCATAAGCGCTAAAAAGATTGATACTTCGATAGTCGCTTTGACTCAGATCGCACACTATCGTATCGGTCCATAATTTATATGTGCCAAGGTGCCCGATTGGACTGGGAGATAAGCACCTCCCATGTTAGTTAATTCCTATCGCTGCCTCACATTCGCAGTAGCGGTCCAAACTTACTCGCCAGAACTATTCTAGCGAACGAGTGAGTTGCAGTCACAGGTTACAACAAAATGTCACCTGTTAGTAATGCTAAACATCCACGTGTAGCTCGTGAGCGCGCGAAACAGCTTGAGAAGTCTCGAAAGTGAATATTCACATGCTCCATTCAAATTGCAAGCATTAAGAGGTCGGTCTGGAGTACTCGTCTTGGCGGCTGCAAAGGTCAACCTCAAGTGTATGAAATCAATTTGATAAAATGTTTCTGGCCGAAAAACGACAGGGTAACCTGTTCTGAGAATTCACCAACGATTTCGAAATGACCAGCGTTTGACAACAGAGTGACACAAACCAGTCAGTGAGAAAAAGTGAAATGCTCTATGCGCGCTAACTGCGGTCAAGTTTTACAACCGTACCTGGCTACCGGACATTCTGGGGAGAGGAAAAAATTGGTGCTAAATGGAGACAAGCTCCTTTCCCCGTAGATGTACATTCTACAACTCTGCTCTAATTGGCAATAGCACGACTCTCAGCTTCCTAATGTACAAGCCTCAGAGCAGGAGTAGGCTTAATCGACTACCACCTACATTGAAATCAATTATACGAAGTATGACTATTCTAATCCTAGAGCTGCTATATGCGATACATTGGGGGTTACCCACGGCGTAGCAGCAACTCAATCCTAATCTGTGCTAAAGAACTTATTGTTTATGTTTCCTTGTCTTTTGCTTGAACTGCTTTTTGCTACTCAACTGTTTCTTCTTGCCAGGGGTCGGGGTGTCGCTCTCCTTCTCACTTTGGTCTTCAATTTCTCCTCTAACTTCCGCAGTCTTCTCTTTGGAAGGGGTGCTCTTTTCCTCACCTTTGGTCCCGTTCACCGCTCCAGCCACCTTCTTCCCTTTCGAAGGAGTGATCTTCTTCTCACTTGCAGTTCCATTTTGCAGTTCACCTATCTTTTGTTTCTTCTTCTTTGACCCTTTCACCTTCTTCTCAGCGGCATCTTCTTCCTCCGCCCTGTCAGACAAATTAGCTTCCGGCTCGCTTTCTGTCAGAGGAACTGCGTCCTCGGTTTCTTTCTCTTCTGTAACTGCTGAATCCTCGGGTTCATCGTCGTCCTTTGGAGCACTCTTCACTTTGTTGCTGAGCTTCTTCAACTGCACGATGTAGTGACCCATTAGCAAAGGAACGATTACCAACGCAAGTTCAAAACGATGCAAAAGACAAGTCATTAACTTCATTCCTCTCGGTTCGTACCTTCGCTACAAAAAACCCGTCCATGTTGTGAGCATGGGGGAAAAATCTTCTGGTGTTGGCCACGTGCGGGTGAAACCGGTGTTCCCTGAATCTCGTGTATCTGAAACCAACAGGTGTCATGAAATCACTACCCGGAGGATATACAAACTGCATACAAAAAAGATACAAATTCTCTGGCGCATCGAAATATTTGCGTCTTAAACCCGAACCCCGAAACTCCAGAAAACACCTCCATACGGGTTGGTTCCAGGCACATACCCAGGGCGTCCGAAGTCCAGGCCACCACTGACAACCTTGACGTCCCTCTTCCGTAATGCGTAGTCTATGACTGCTTCATTCTGCACCACACATGGATACATCAGTAGTAGTTGGGGTAGACAATGGGCGCGCAGGTGTTAATCAGATGTAGCCGAAAGGAGGTCGAGATTCAAGCATTTCGCGTTACATGGAGGCCCGCAGGCGCATCGAATTCACGTCGAGAGCTTCGAAAAAGAACCATGTTTTACCTCTGCTACCATGACAGAGCATGTAGAATAGACAATGTAACCTCCCGTTTTCGATCCGGCATCCACCATATCGATCGCAGCGAGGATCAACTCCTTTTGCAAGAATGCACAGCGCACAATATCTTCTCCACTCTTCGTTACCTTGACAGACGGGTCCTTTCCAATAACCTGAAAGGCGCGAAGATAAATTGCTCAGATTTTCCGCCAAAGTCATCTGATCATGATTTTGTAAAGACTGTATAGCGCAGAAAAATTCGGTGGATTCCGTGCGATGAGGTCACTCACTCCAGTTCCACTGCACGGAGCATCGAGAAGCACTCGGTCGGCAGTATTCTTCCCCAGGACAGTTGGGAGCTGCACAGATACTTAACGGTTTCAGAGAGAAATCAAGTGCATTCGGGACTGCGTGTGCAGACAATAGATCAATCAACTCAACCAAACATAAAGATTATCCTGTAGCTCATTAACTGGAAGTCCGTCTCACTGAGCCCTCTACACGGAACAGCTCGCCCCAAATACAAGCTAATTCTTCCCCATCAGCGGGGCACGAAGATGTCATCATCAATCAGCGCCTGACCTTGCGGCCATCATAGTTGCAAATGATGGTGTTAGTGACTCCCATGCGCTGAATGTTGGCCGACAAAGATGGTATCCTCGACTCCTTCAGCTCGTTCGCATATATAACTCCTAGAAAATCACAGCAGTGTCAGCCATACTGAGATGACAGACAGGCAAAACAGACTCATCGTGTTTTATTGATATATGCTTCAAAACGATACTTTTGTCGAATATACTAAGTACACGATTGGACACAACAGAGAGATGAGATGGCAGCCAGAATGACAGCGTGAAAATGAGGCTTCCGAACATAGGTAAGAAGTTGGTATGAAGCGAATCGAGTATCTGTCAGTGTAACTATGACAATTATGCCTCATCAAGAGACGCACTAAGACAGTGCGTGGTTCCTTGGCTATGGATGGTTTTCGTCCTCCAGACACTCGAATCAACGCTGCATGCCGACTACTTTACGGCTGGCTGGTGAATAAAGATCACCGCACGCCAGCACGTATGAAAACCACAATACAAGTAATCCCGGGGATGTCAATCTACGTTGAAGGAACTCGGCGCATCTCTCAGTGTAACTATGACTTAAAGTAGCCTCAAAATAGGAGGCAGCTTGAACAAGCAAGACCCCCATTGGCCAAAGTTCTCGTCATCCGTGAGTGCTCGGAAACCCTCATAATACTAAGCTCCACCCCAACCAGCAGGATTTCAACTCTGTGCATCTCTCAGTGTAACTATGACATAAGTAGCCTCAAAAAAGGAGGCTGCTTGGAAAAAGCAATGCCTCCATTGGCCAAAATGTTTGTCATCCTTGAGCGCTTTAAAAATCTAGTCCAAGTGAGTTTCACGAGCTTTCATCAGTTCTCAACAAAGCTCAAAGCAGGAGCCAAAAAGCATCTAAGGAGAAGATATCGCACAAGGCAGGGGACAATAGATCTCCGGTGTAATACTATCCCTCCACAGTATCCAAGGACTGTACTTTCAGGTGTTTCCCAAGTAATGTTGTCCGACAGTTGTATATCAGGGGCATGAAGCAAGGAAGGCAAGAACGAGAAATCTGTCAGTGTAACTATGACATTGAAGGCTTCATAAAGGAGCCAGCTATTACAAGCCGGGGTTCCATTAGCTTCATAAATTGTCATCATTCAGAAGTTCTTCAGCGCAACTTGCCATTCTACAACCCACACTTCCACTGACCCTGTACAGGTTTAAATACTACTAGTTAAAGAAAGCTGCGGCACTGAACGGCCATCAATTTCGACGGTGCAATTGAAGGAGAGGCACAATGCGGAATATACGGAGAACAAAAAGCAAACGGTTGACTTGAAATTTGAACCTCGCAATAGAGACTGGTAGAATCAGGAATTGACATGGTTAACTTGCTACAATCCTTCATGACGTCTACAGTTCATGCTTTGCATAGCACCAAACGCTTCTCGATTAAATAGGAACTTCCTAGAGGCTCTTATTGAAACCGCCCAAGTACCCTAATTAAGAATTTTGAAGTAGGATCAGTGAAATCAATACCTGTATTTCTCATGAGCGCAGCAATATACGTGGTTTTACCGCCGGGAGCAGCCCTGTCGAACAAAAGAGAGACTCGATATCAGGCAAATGCATTTACAGAGCTCAAAGTGCGCTTCCCCATATTGAAGTTAGTGGCCTCTCCAATAAACCGATAACCAATCGAACGGAACACCATGGCTGGTAGTTAACAAGGCTAGTCGGATGCAGTCCTCGGGACCAAGAATTTAGATAACCCGGGTAAAAAACGGGAAGGTAACTTACGCCATATCTATGACGCGCTCCTTCTCTTGGGGTGCAAGTGCCATGACTGGAAGAAACGAGGAGGCACTTTGAAGCTGCAAGACGCACGGCAATCATGATTAAAAAATGGCGCTTTCACGACGCTGGTGCACGGGGTCGTGATTTGGGTTCCGGAGACGAAAACCACGCGACTGGATATGCACCAAACCAAAAATGCAAGGCAGTGACATGAACGACATCCAGAGCGACAGGAACTTTGCCTCACCATGTAATGTCCAGCCATGTATTCGGGAGTTGCACCAACCGGAACTTTCGACTCGTACACTACAAGACCGACCTTCGACCACTTTCCCAAGGGGGCAAGATTTACTCCACGATTGACGAGGACATCCATAAGCTCTCGTCTACGAGCCTGCACTGACAAATAAAACCACCTTTGAGCTACGACAAAACGCGAACGAGCCTACTCCACGGGGCTTCGTTAGTCCAAAGAAACATTCCAACTAAGACATAACAAGCTAGCAGCTGCATAGATGAAAGACGTGAACAGTTGAAACAATACAGCCCTAATTAACTATACCTTCAGGTTGTTCGTCCTCAAGCAGACCGGACGTGGTGTCTCGTTGGCTTCTAGGAACTCTACCACCTCCGCAACAGGGAACATCTAGAATGCAAAACAAACCAACACGATAAGTATGCGAAAAGCTAGGTCCGAAACCCACGAAGAAACATAACTGACCAAAATCCTGCGGGAATTCCACTTCTTCTCATTGATGAACAAAACCAAGGATCACATTCAATACCTGCATAAACATAGCCATCAAATAATCATTGTAACCATAGTAACAGGCCAGATCGGCGGCCAGTTGCTTGGTGTAGTCCCCTCGGTCAGCACCTTCAGCTCGAAGATTTTTGAAGTTACCGAGAACTCGTACGACTGTCAGAACGATTAACAGAAGCGAGAAACATAAGCGACAGTCACAATGCCAAAAAGAAGGCCTTCAGGGAGGCACTAGACCGGGCGAAATGAAAGAAGAGGAATGAGACCAATCTATTCCAAGGATTGACATGTATCGAAGGAAAGGAAGGTAACCATTACGTACTTTCTTTGATACGTGTTTGAATTTTGGGTAAATCAGGAGGTCTTTTGGACTCGTCCTCGAGTTCCTGGGGAGGCATGTACTCGTCAGCCAGACAATTACGAAGGTTCGATATTCAGGACATTCAAAAACTGCCAGCTCGGAATTACGTCAATTAAGGAGCAAAGGGACAAGCTTACTTCCGGGGTAGGTAAGACAAACTCATCGGATTCACCCTGGATATTGAGCTGCATCTCGGCTTCTGCGTCCTTCTCGTCAAGAAGTTTCTGTGCGTCGATTTTTCGCGACTTCTTCTCAACATCCATTTCTTCCTCGCTATCGCTTCCATCTGATTAAGCAACCGACCCACCGCCCACTTCGATCAGATGACAGGTGTAAGACCGGTGGGTAGCATAAATCTGGTGGCAACATGCTCATGACGTAGCTCCAAGTAAGACATTCAGAAACCGCTCACCAAATCCAAATGACAGCATACAGAAAGCTGAGTAGGTCCTGAGCACAATGTAGCTGGAAGATTTCCATAGTAGATAATTTCCGATTTGGGATCACTGTACACGATTTGAGTGGGAAAAAGAGACATACCATCTGAAAACTCGAGACCTTTAGGATCATCGTCCATTTCCATTTCGTCGTCATCCTCATCACTGTCGCTATCCAGCAAGGTTCGTGTGCCCAAGTTGTTGAGAGCTTCACCCTCTAACTCCTCCTCCTCTTCATCACTGCTGTAATCATCCATTTCAGGCTCGTCATCACTCTCACTTTCGTCCGAATCGAGTGAAACCTCTTGCTTCCTTTTGGTTGCTTGCGGCAACCCTTTTCCCTGCTTTTTCTCTACAGTATTCCCTGCACCATTACCTCTTCTGGCGATAGGAGCTTCCTCTCCCTCTTCTGAAGAGAACTCCTCCACAGGTTCTGCGACACGTTTTGGTGCCTTTTTCCCTGTCGAGTTCGTGGGAATGAACTTTCCACCAGCCTTCCCTGGAGATTTGGAGGGAGTAAACTTCCCACCAGCCTTCCCTGGAGATTTTGTGGGGGTGAACTTCCCACCAGCCCTCCCTGGAGATTTTGTGGGAGTGGATTTGCCAGCCTTCCCTGAGGGCCTCGCGGGAGTATTCTGTCCAGCCTTCCTCTTCGTCCCACCCTTAACGGGAAGGGCCGCCATGATCTGTAAACAGGTGTGAGCACCTGAGTGAGACATTGTGGCAAACAATCATCTGACATTCTACGACAAAAACACGGCTCATTGTGGAGCATGGACTCGGGATGAGTGACAATCCTTAACAAAACCCGAGCCGAGACTAAATTCCAGCAAATCAACACAGAAACCAAGACCCACATTGTGATAATTCTTGACAAAAACGTGAGCGGTTCCGCACATTAAGTGCCACCACCATACAAAAATCTGGCCTCACATTTTGGGTATATTTATTTTCAGATCATCTGCAGTACGAGCACAGATGTACAGACAGCGTTCAAAAACTTCGTGAAGACGAGGAGCAAAATAAAACCGTAGCCGGCACGAAGATCCGCGAAGGGAACGTCGAAATGTAAGGACTTACAGACGACTTCAATCGGAGGTTCGACGTCAGGATGCAGGATCGATGCGATCTTTCGTCCGAAAGAATTTCGTGTGGTAATTGCGATTGATGGAGCTTGAGCTACTCCAAGGCAGAGCATGCCCAGAACCCTAAACCCTAACCTTACGTCTCGCTCCTCTTCAACCCTAAACGTCTTGCACTTCGTACCACGCCTGGGGATAAAACCCTCGTCGCGCGCCGTTTTGAACTGGGTAGTAAGTTTACTTGGTTACTCCCACTTTTGGCTAGATCAACCCCGATCGGATCACGGCCCCGGCACTTCAAACGTACACCGTTGGGGAATCGCCGTTACGCACACCGTCGTGCGTTCTGTCTCCTAAATCATTCCCTAAAGTTGACTAGGATGAGCTAGAGGAGTAGTCTCGACTCTTCTCTCTTCTTTCTATGTGCCGAGAGAAGACTAGCACATATCAAAGTCTTCTCTCAGCTATAGTGGGCGGATCCTACCTCGGAGTGCAGGTGTGAGACATTGCAGCATGCTTTTGACTAGCACTCATGTTGGATTCTGGAGATAGATATGTTATCTTTGCTTAATCTTAGGATCTAAAGTGTTGTAATTGCTACAAACTCATTTCGATACTCAAAAGTGCAAATTTTCTGGAATCGCGGACTTCTATTGACGAATGTTATCTAATTGAGCAGGTCTCGATACGAGTATGGTTTGTCACAGTTGCATGGCTGTAACACCTTGGTTGTTTCTACAATGTTATACTGCTTGCTTATAATCGAAGTGTACTTGGGAAGAAGATATACTGCAATGAGTCCACAAAACATGTGCACGTTGCTTGTTTTCTGTATATGGTCAGGGATAAAAGTCATCTCTTCCACACATGCAAAGAGATGACTCATGTGTGGAAGTGATGGATTGTGAAGATGAACTTTGAAGAAAGCAAGATAATGCTCCAGCTCCAGCCCCTGCTGCTGCATCGATAGGTTCATCTAACACTCTCGAGATCATTCTAGCGATCGAAAACAGCTCTTATTGTCAGTAGAGGCAACTCGAGCGCGACAGAAAAAACATTCTTAGTTTTGATTCGACTTTCGATTCTCCGTCTACGCTTGAAATTTTGAAGTTCCCGGATCCAACACGGTTTCAATTGGGTTATGGTCAATATGAAGTGTATCGAGGAGGACATGAAGATGAAGATGGTTGAGTTGACCAAATTCACTCACTTGGTCGTTCATGGTCCAAGATTATTACCAATGCTGAGTTCCCTTCACCTTCGGTCGATCGGTACTAACAAATGAATGAGCGTGAGGATGCATTGCGCTCTTGTCGTCTCAATTTTGCTACTATGAAACTCATGAATCAGGAGTCATCAGTATTTCTTTCAGCTTAGATACATGTCTAAGTTAAACTTTGGTGTGACGGAGATATAGCCCAATGTGCATGGATGATACTTTACAACGAGATCCAAGAGGTATCCAAAGACGGTAGATGAAGCATAAATCCTCGTGTTTGAGGGTGAGGTCAAGGTACACGTTCGGAGGGTCGAGTGTATCGTGAAGTAACTTCAGTGCCGGACTATGAAATCAAGAAGGGAGTCTTCGATCTTTGAGTTGTGTGACGAGCGACTGCATTTGAGAGTGAGTGACATTCTAATCGAGCACCATGTCCATTGCGTGCAGCCGGATCATCGTGTGGCGAATAGGACTCCCCTTCGCCACCAGCAACGGAGACTCGGGCACACATTGCGCTAAACCATCGGACGAAAGGTAATCCGGAGTGGGCAAATCGCGACTCAGCAAAGGGTTGGTTGGGACGATGGCCAGTCTCGAAGAAATTTTGAACACTCAGGAAACCTCCGCACAGAAAATTAACATGATCATGAGGCGTTCAAGAACACTCTTTCAAGAGGATTTCTTCAGAAACTAAATAAACTAAGTAAATCTGTAAACACTTCTAAACACAACGAATAGCAGCTTCCCCGCTCACCGGATCAAAGAACATCATTCAAATCTGTCTAGAGAAACGGAACAGATTGAATTCTACTTCCAGACTGATTCAAAGAAAAAATTCCCCTTACGGGCTGTTGTCGCTCCAGATTTTGTGGCCATTCTCCACAATTTCCAGCAAACAAAACATCGAAGCTCCGAAATCACAAGTTCTCGTCCAAAGCATGCTGCGGCATAATATGACAGTTGCACTCCACGCACCAGTAGGAAAAGCCAAGAGATGTCGTTTGACCAAATACTCTTGCAATAAACTTTAGCGACTCATTTAGCTTTCCGTCCGCACGAACGGTGTGCACAACGGTGACACACGACGCTCGTCACGACGGTAACCGTATGCCGTCAACACGGAGGCATATTGTCGGGGTTGATCTAGCATGCAGTATCACACCTCAAGTCCTTGACTTCCAGTCCCAAGGACATAAGAAAAGCTCGAATTACAAAGTTTGACAAAAGTTTGGTTTCAGTTCATAACATTGTTTTTTATTCTCTGTATGTTCGATGAGTGTTGTAAAGAGAAAAATTATCTCAATGTTTTTCATCTGTTTGTGATATATTTAAAATTTTGCCACATCTCTAATTTTAACAAAATCAAATACTTGATTAGCGGAAAACCCAGACTTTATTCTCCTAGTATTGTGATAGATATGTGCTACATATTAGCGTTTAAGCTACTGCCTGAATATCGTTCTTTCTATTCTAGATTTGACCAAAGGTATACAAAATTAGTAAATTAAAAAAAAAATTAAAACAAAAATTGAATTGAACAAATATTGCCCATAAGCAATTTACAAAAAGGTATCTTATGCTATTGCTTTGACAAATATGCAGAATCTCGGATTTTGACTTCACCATATGTTAACGTGAACTAACTTACACTCTAATATTTTTCCTTTGCACGAAGGTTTTGCTTAGGCTTGTTCCATCTATCAACATTTTCATTGTTTACATGTGAGTTTATTCTAGATATGTTAGGTTGATATGACTCAATAATCAGATATGTGAGATATATTAATCATCAACAATTTCATTAAGGATATGATGTGTGGAATAAGCTCGAGTATACTACCTCATATGGCATGCATTGAAGCATACAATAATTATGACATATTCATATTCTACTTCACGCATAAGCAACCTTAACTAATGTGATGGCTAGCCATCTATATGTGATAGAATTTCTAGTGATATGATTACATAATTGTCATGTTTGGACTGTAAATGTGGTGACTGCAGCCAAGGTCTCCAAATATATAGAGAAAAGTAGATCTGTCAAGAAACTATTTTTCCAAAGCATTTTAGCCAAATGTATATGGATATAGAATTTTGAACTTTTAACAAGGTGATAAACAAAGGTAATGTGTGTTGAGGTTAACTATAGTTAAGAAATAAACTCATGTTCTAACTATTTATAGATAGATTGATCGTCAGTGTTGGGTATATATATATACCCCAAGACTTCTATTCCGTACGAGTTGCATTCAATTGTTAGTAAACTCTCTCGGATGTTCCAATCGTGGACACAACCTTTTGAAGAGCGAACCACTTTATATGTCTCTTCCACATGTTTTCTGATTTAACTGTAACAATATGGTTTACTCTTGTGTATTATAATATCAAAATAGTCGTAAAATTTTATCACAATACCTACTTTATTTTGTGATGTATTTTAGTCAACAAGTGTTCATTGCTACATACAAATTAGTCACTATTGCAATATAGAAGAAAGTAATGATGTCAAAAATATCATATGATCATGTTATTGTAGATTATTTTATATGAATATTATGGAAATAAAAAATATTATTAAATATCATTATTAGATCATTCATGGAGTGAAATCAGATATCAATATGATTTGATAAGTTATACTTGAAACAAATTTATTAAAATTAAGTTGTAAATCACTTAATTAAATAAAGCATTGTGTATCTAGATGTAAAATGTCATCAATTGTTTGGTTAAAAAACTAAGACAAGATCCTCGAATACAAAATGTATCATGATGATTAGAAAAACATGTAATTTATGAATATTTACTAAATTTTAATGAAAATTATAATCCTTACAAGACTACAGATTAAGTTTTAATACTAATGGTACTAAGTTATTTAAGTTTATAAAGTGAAATTCTATAATTAAGTTATTGAAGGTACTAAATACAAAATTTTCTGCAATCGACATACACAATCAGTTATTCATTTTATCAAGGTTAAGAAACTTCAATGAATACTCTAATTTTGTATTTAAAATTACATTAGTTCTATTGTATAAATGCAAGATAAATCGAGTTAACAATTTAGGGTACAAGCAAATTTGATTTATACAAAACTTCAATTGAGTACTAACCATTTTAACATTAATCATGTCTTGAGTATTTCAACTAAATTATTACTATGCAACAGTTTTAAAAGAAAATATAGTAGATATCACTCTAAGAATTAAAGTGAAATAAAATTTTAAATTGTGGTAAAAAAATAATCGATACAATCAAATGCAAATTGAACATCTTAGCAATTTATTCTACAATATTCATATGCAAAACCTGCAAATAATAATGTATTGAAAATCAATGTAACAAAATTGCTTTGAAAAAGTCATCAACCTAATTGAGCAGATGATTTATTTTTTAAAATTGAATCAATTAAGACAATAAATAATTTTATGTTCTATTTTCATATGTAAATTTCTTTTTTCTTTTTTCTTCTTCCTTGTTGCTCATGATTGCAGATCATGATTAGATCTATGTTCACAAATTTCTTCCAACAACTATGATGATGACTAATGAGTAGATCAAATTCATCAGTTTATTTTTTACGAAACTAATATTGAATATTTTCATAGCAACCAAATGTATGAACTTCTTGCCAAACTCATTGATAATATTTGATTTTGCTTCTAGCCACATTAATTTCAGCTCAACAAATGATCAATTTGGCATTTGAAGTATAATTTTCTCTAAGTTCTTCTCATGTTTAAGCTTACAAATCTATATTAAGTTGGAAATTAAGCAAACCTTTGCATACTATTAACCGATTACTCAAATATTTCATGATATACATTCTCATGTGATAACTTTTGTACACAAAAATCTTTCATATTTTAAAATATGATGATTACTTAACACCATAAAAGCAAGATGAGCTCTGTACTTTGTCATAAAGAGCAAAATTGCAATGCAATACATTACAAGCTTTCATTTTTCAAGCTCAAATCTCTCAAGCGAATGACATCACACCCATAAATGCTTCAAATCTAAGTGTGAATACCCAACCACACAAACAAAGATATCTTGACATTGTTTTTGTTGATGTGTTAACGCAGAGCTGCATTCAATTTAAAATTATATAATAGAATGATATTCACTTGATTTCCAAAACAAAAAACTCAAAATTGACAAACAAAACAATTTTATACCTCATAATGAGAGGATTGAACATTTAAACATATGACACATACACATTTTAATTGCAAGCAAACCTAGAAAATCGAGTGAATAATCTTGCACAATAGAAGATATTCATGTTCTCATTGTCAACAATTCCATCAAATCAATATGAAGTGAAATGTTAAAGATCCATATGTGATTGCTGAAAATGAGATCATGATGACCTTTCATGGTGCAAGATTATTCGTTTGGTTGACTAGAAAACAAAAATGATGCTTCATAATGAAAGAATTTAAGATTTAAATTTACAGACAAATAGCCAATCAAGGCAACCAAAGGAATGATATTTCACCCTAAATCTCATTGTCAACAATCTCATCAAATCAACATGAAGTGAAATATGAAAAGTCCATATAAGATTGTTGAACATGAGATCATAAGTATCTTGCATGGTGAGAGATTATTAGTTTGGTTGACTAGAAAACAAAAACGATGCTTCATATCAAGAGAGTTGAAGATTTAAATATACATACACATAGCAAACCAAACGAATAGTCTTGCACACTAAATCTCATCGTCAACATGAAGTGAAATATGAAAAATCCATATAAGATTGCTAAATATGAGATCATAAGTATCTTACATGTTGTGAGATTATTCATTTGGTTGATTAAAAAACAAAAATGATGATTCATATTGAGAGAATCGAAGATTTAAATATAGAGTCACATAGCCAGCCAAGACAATTTAGCAAATAATCTTGCATCATGAAAAATGCTCATTATCTCAATATCAACCATCTCATCAAATTAACACGAAGAGAACTGTGAACAGTTCATATGAGATCTTTGAAAATGAGATTATGAAGATTTTTCATGGTGCGAGATTATTTGTTTGGTTGACTAGAAAACAAAAATGATATTTCATAACTAGAGAATAGAAGATTTAAATATACAGACACATAGCCAACCAAGGCAACTGAGCAAATAATCTTGCACCATGAAAGATGCTCATTACCTCAATATCAACCATCTCATCAAATTAACATAAAGAGAATTGACAATAGTCCATATGAGATCTTTGAAATGAGATAATGAAGATCTTTCATGGCACGAGATGATTCTTTGGTTGACTAGTCGGACTAACAGTGAATGAATTATCTGCTTTTTGCAAACATGAAGATACATTATTTGATGAAAAACTATTTAACTTCTTGATCTTAAATGATAAAAAAAGAAAAATGACATGTCAAATTAAAAAAGTTGGCATATCATTTACTTAGATAAATTCAATTATAAATTAATTTCAAAAAGTATAATTTTTTGTAAGTTGATAATCATAACAAAATCTATCAAATTAATGCATTGACTTTTTCAATTTCCATGTTTTACTCTTTGTAGCGTAAAAATTTAAAGCACATTGATTATTACATGATACTAAAATGTTTATTTAATAACACATACTATTTTAAAATTATATGTATAAAACAACTCAGTTCTTCGTTATGCCCGAAAGCTATTCAAAGATAGCGCAGATTTGCTTCTTGCTGGTTCCACCTGGTCAGTCAGGTGTGGGTGTAGTTCGCTTGGTCGACGCGTTACCATCCCTCAATGAATCGAGTCAGAAGGGCAACGTGCAGCAGCGCTCGAAATTTGACGACCGAAATGTCGTCGAGCATTAGACCTGAATTCCAGCCTCAGGGCTCCATCAAGTAAGTAAGGAACCGCCGTCTACCTCTCAGAGAATTTATCGAAACAGAGTATGTGGATCTTGTAGGTTGGCGAACAGCCGCCGCTGACGGTACCCGGCCGGACGGACGCGGGGACTTATCCAGATCAAAGCTGGTAATTGTTTATATACAGAATATATAAGACCTTCGAGGCCCGAGAATGGGGAAGTGCACGTACGTGAGGTAAGTATATCCGAGAGAGATCGAGGTCCATGCCAATCACAGCATCGAGGCCTACTTCCCATTGCTCGGTACGCCTGAATCGCATATCCGAACACTCGAGTGCCGGCACCTCTCGACGAAAAATATCTCGGATCTCCCACGTGTCCGCTCCAGATGCCCATCCGCAGTATAAAGCTCCTGCACCAGCTTGTGTAGACAAAATCCAAAAGCATCAGTCAGAACCTCGTTCGCTCCCTCTCTCTCTCACTCTCTTGCCTACTTGTTCGCCCGCTGCATTGTGCTGCGCCGTCAATCTTCTTCTTCCACGGCAGCCACTTCCGAACTGTCAATTTCGCTCGTTCTTCGGTGAGGAAGTTCTTCATTGCGCAGCCATGGCCGCGTCCACAGCAGCGATCGCAGCAGCGCTGTCATCGAGCAGCGCTCTCGGATGCGCGCCCTGCGCGTCGCTGAAGCTCGAGTCCCGCTCGGCCGCGGTAAACTGCCGCAGCGCCAAAGCAGCGGTTTGCGTCAGAGCCAGTAGCTCAGCGGACGAGGATCGGAGCGTGACCACGAGGAGGGACGTGATCGCCAACCTTCTCGGGGCCGGAGCTGCTCTGGGGTTCGCCGGGCAGGCATTGGCTGCCAACCCCGGATCGTTGGCCCGCCAGAAGAAGGTCGAGAAGCCCGAGGGCAAGGCCAGGGACGAGAAATCATCGTCGTCGGCAGCGTCTCCTCGCTTCGAGTGAACGAATGATGGACGGAAGCAGGAGTGGAGCGTCCCGTTGAGCGTTCGATTTGAAATTTGAACCGGTGAGGTGCGTTCGGGACGGAATGAAGGCCGCAGAGAAGGGGAGAGCGTTTCTCGCTCAGAAGGGGAGCGAGCGTCTGGCTCTCGGCGCCCCTCGGCGTTCTGGAACCTTCGGCCGTCAATTGTCGCGGCGAATCTGCTTGAGGCCTCGACAGAGAGATGTACAAATGTGAAGTGGGATCTGTGTCCAGTGGAGGACCAGAAAGGTTCCTATTGTATATTGAAAAGCGATGTCCTATGATGTTGCTCTTGTTGTAAAGATACACGAGTATGCACTCGATTGATTCATGAGACTGCTTTACAGTGTCAGCCAGATAAATGTGCCTTGACTTCCACCGTCTCAAATTTTGCATCGCTCATGGACATGTCCAATTGGCTCCCATGTCACGGAGTGTGTCTATTTCACAGCGGGACACAGTAACGGCAACTTGAAACAGAGAATGTGGAGTCTACAATGATGTGAAGTTAGAGAGCTCGCACGCGAAAAGAAAGTGTCTTCACCCAAAATTCAAAAGATGGCACGTGTGCAGCGACATTAATCTTCCAATATCTGCCTCGTAATTCGAAACGTATGATCAGGCAAATTTACAAACCTCTACTAAGGTCAGTATTGGATGATAGAAGTATTGTCAGAATAATATGCTTAACTTCCGATATGTATAAGCCTACACTAATATGACTACAGCTGTGTACAATATGATCGAAGCCGAATGAATGCATAGTTGCACGCAACGAATACTGGCTTCATGACAGTTACCACATTACAAGATTCTTCCTACCGCTACTACGAAACAAAACAGACTTTGTCCTTATCTTCTTGGGACGGACAGTATAAGGAAAAGACTTGAAAAGTAGTCTTGTACCTATGATCCATTTCCTACACCTGGGGAGGTATACTTACACATTGCCATAACCCTGGTGAGGACACGACAGAAGCTTGGTATTTGATTGCTTGTGGGATTCGAAAGATTGAGCCGCTGAAGTCATCTACAACACCAAGATTCGTAGTGACTGACAGACAGAGTCGAAGAACAGCAGCTTGGTATTTGATTTCTTGTGTGAATCGAAAGATTGAGCCGCTGAAGTCTTCTACAACACCAAGATTCGTAGTGACTGACAGACAGAGTCGAAGAACAGCGGACAAATTCTGGCTGCAAGTAGAGTAGGTTACCAAGCCGGATGATTTCGTCGTCTTCGATCAAAGCATCGCATCTAAGAGCAGAGCAAAGCTCAGAGTAACAGTAGCTGCGTCGGAACCATATGAAATTTCGAAGATGGAAATCTCCCAGCATCCTCCTCCTGTGCAGTGAGGGATTGTAGTATACTCAATCTGTCTTGCTTTCGTTTCATTGAATCACAACGAACACTTTCTTGTGTGAGAGGTGTGATGCATTAGCTGTGGTTCCCACCCATTTACACGGGGTTTAGGTAAGCTGTATGCCAAGAATATTTACGAAACTTTGACTAGGAGTTCCTTCGGGAGCCCTTCATTTTTTAAGGTTCAGCTGTGCCCCAGCGCAATCACTCTCTCTCTCTCTCGACCACGTACGATGGACACGAGATGTTCTGTAGCCGTCCTCGAGCGCTACCTAGGCACCTCATGGAATGCCGCTCACCGCCTCCCGTTATTCGAACGATGAAGGCAGCGGCGTTCTCTGGGAAGCTTGGATCCTACAGTCATTCTATGAGGTGGGGTGTTTAAATTTCAAAATCCTCTCAAGGTGTATTCCGAGTGCATGATCTTGTTCGTCATGACCTACTAGAAATTCGGAAAACATTGCCGAGGATCTGCACATCGATCTGTGGGTCGGATGGGCACGACGCCTTGAAAATATACCGTTGATGTTTAATTGCCACAGCCCTCGTAGCTCACGACCTACATTTGGCTTTCATCGAATTAGCATTTAAAAATCTGCTCTCCCTGATGTATTGAAACATTACCACTTCACATAATTCGTTGTATATAATACATTTCATTGATATGTTTTGCAGCTAGTTAATGACGGCAATCTAGTTCTTCTGAGAGAATAATACCACTCCATTATCATACACACATTCATAAATATGAGAATTAGCAACATAACTACAACTTCAAAGATTTAACTATTATATATAACATGCTGAATTCAAGTCGTTCATCACTTATGTAGATCTATAATATATTCTCTTCCTATAGGATGAGAATTTCTTCCTTAGGATCACATTTTTGTTTTGTATGTAATCTATCTTAGATACAATAGACGAAAAGAAACTAAATCAAAGGCTGATAAAGAATTTTGGAATCATCCGCTATAGATCTCCCGGAGCCTAAATTATTTTACTTGTCATTATACAGGAACATAAAGTTTCACAAAATTTGCCTCTATGTTTATATTTATATAAATAAATAAATAAATATATATATATATATATATATCTACTTACATACCCTGACCTATCTCTAGACTGCTTGAACTGGCCTCTCATCCTTTTCTGCTATCACTGTAAACCACGATACACAAAGTGGATTTGGAAGACACTTGCAAACTTGGAGATGCGTGTTATGCGACGTAACATGGCAAACACTTCTGATCGTGGAAGAACTACACCGAGTTGATTCATGAGCCATCAGATCTCCACACTAGGCTGCCGAGGAATGGGCAATGGAAACCATATATATCATATATTATACTGATTGCATAAATAGGAAAATTATATTGAGTTATTGTTTTAAGTTAAAAGATTCATCCCATTAGCGGAGATGTCTGTCTAATCAATTAAATCCCATACATCAAGTCAACATCAACTAACTTACCGTTATATCATAAATGTAACACTATAAGAAGCTGTAAGCCAATTGAATATGCTCTTCTAAACTCTCCTAGAAAAGAAAAAATAAAGTGTTGTTTTGAATTTCATGAGCAATTCTTGATGATAATAGATGAATATGAACCAGAAGCATACTAGAGTTAATTGTCTACATAGATATTGCATCATAACATAGGTTGTTATCACATGTACAATCAAATTGAGTAGTGTTTCATATACTAGTGCAAGTCTCGTTAATTTCAAAACTTTCAATAATGAAGTCACAATTTCAGCATATAAAATCAGATGAAAATGATATCAAGCTCATTTTATGATTAAAGATCTAATTCATATAAATTTGTGCTCTCCAAGTCTCATTTTAAAAATTAATATCTCATATTTCATTAATGCAATTTTTAAAATCCTTTTACAAAAATTGGTAACCATAATTCATTTTATTGGCACTAACTATATAGTGTGCTCCAACTGTTATCATGTTATACGGATGATTTGACATATATTGTAAAAGTTAAAGTAAAAACTCTTAAGAACAAAATTTGTATCTTACGTTATGATTTCGTATTTGAAGACCAGACTCGTCTCTAACATGTAATTTTTTCAAGAATTTACGCCATGTTTATGTTGATCATCTATTGTCACATCATCCAAATGTTTAAATAATATTTCTAAAGTCATAAACTGGTAAAATTGAAGTAAAATCCTCGCATCACACTTTTCAATAAAAACAACACACTCATGAAATCAAAATTTCGACGTTGCAAGTTGTGAGATCTGATAGATCATCATAATGAGAAGCAACCACAAAACACTTACTATAATATTGAACAGAGAGTAGGGTCAAAATCTAGATTTAATATGAACATCTGCTGACGTATATGCGTTGCCAGTCGCCACATCATTTGTTGTGAGGCTGGACAATCTGGATAAAGAGCCCAAACTTAGAGAAGATTCTTCACTGTAAGAAATATCAGTCAAGGGCCTTGACTGATAAGACGCTCTCTCGACAGATGATGAACAAATTAGTTAATAACATCAAAATACAATGTCGACTCTGTTGACGACGCAAAGACTCAAAATGATTGAAAGCAATGTCGTCTTCCCTTACATCTTCCTCGAAACTTAAAATATGCTCTTTCCAGCAGTTTCGTTCATTTGTATACCCACACAAAGCTCTTAGGGAAGTAATGGAATCTGAAACCGTCGCCTCAGCATTAGATATTTGGGAAATACAATTATATCTTTTACGAAGAATATATTTTGCTTACCGCAAGTTTTGAAGAAAAAAATAGTGCAAAATAATTTTATCTATTTTTTATAGGAGCGATTAATTGTCACTCACCCTACAAAATTCTACAGAAGAGATCATAGTATACAGAGATGATTTGGGACGTATATCTAATCTGGGGGACTACGGTGAGGGATAATCAGTTTAGGCTAATTAGCGGCTAGAGATAACTAGCGGCTCCCATTTTTATTTCTTCGAAAGTTGACGGCTCAATTTCACTAAATTAGTGGGGATGGGCACCATTACAGTTTAGGAACGCGACAACAACTGCAGATGACGAAGCAAGTATGGTCCAGACAGTCCCGGCATGTGAACGTAGTCACTTTTATTTTAATCCTCCTACACAAGTCCCTCGGGTCAAAATCCCGAACATTTGGCAGAAATTTGACGAACTCACTGAAATTCAACGTTCCACTTCAGGAAATCGCCACTGGCCAATAAGTCGCGTTAGAAAGTCGCATACAGAGTGTTCAGATTGAAAGGCAATAAATAATGCAGGCGCCACTAGAGGCATCCCTAGTTCAAAGTCGCGACTCAGACTCACTCACTCACACACATACACACATCCATCAAGGAAAACAATCCTTCTGGTGAACGATTTGTGAAATTAGAAAGTCCTCTTTCAGGAAACTTGCAGAAAATTCATGCTTCAGCTTCGCGAAAGTAAGAGTGCTGGAGCATGACAGAGTATCGTAGCAAACGAGCATCGCCTGGACAAGCATGGGCCAGACATCGAAACGCCATGATCGATCACTGGCTGTCATACGACCACGTTCCTATATTAGTATCCCAAAAGCTCCACAAGCCCAGAACCCAGAGGAGCGCTTCTGAGCTTGGAAAAAACTTTCCCAACCACAGTTCGGCCGTCCGCGTCATCGCTGAGCCAAACTGGTCGGTTCAAAAGGCCTCCCGCTTCTGTGAGATAGCTTCTCCTGAAGCTATCTCCGATTCAATTTGACACTGACCACTCTGCCTTCTTACGGTTCTCGTCTAAACCGACCAAGCACCGCTATTTGTGCAGTCTTCGAGAAAATCCTATGCAGGTCTCGATGGCGTTCAACTTAAGCTGCAATCAGTTTGCTCTGGTGCAGTCTTCTTCCGTACGGTCTCCTTGCGTCACATTTTTCTTTCAATGCCAAATTTCCATCGTATCATAATAAGTCATTACGTTAGAAAGTATCATATAATTTCTTCCCATGCAGGGCAGAGGTAAGAAGTGGGTACCACGCTCATGGATACGATTCGCTATGCATAAGCACACCAGTGAATCCCATGCTCACCCTTCACATGCCCTTGACAAAAGTCTCAAGAGTTGTTCGTCTCGACTCGACAAACCGCTTGACCAACGAACAAAAATTAATTGATTCCTATATCTAAGGCCATGCGAAGCAACTCCTCACCATTCACAAATCATCGGTGCAATTGATTCCTTACTCCAGAGTAAAGACGACTATTAAACGGAGTGACAAGTTCGAAACCCTTGAGGACCTCCATCACCTACTCAACGCGTCCCAGGGTAAAGGAATTTCTGTTCCAAAACCGTCGCATAACTTCTTAACCACGGGCTAGTACCAGAAGGAGTATTCGGTTTGGCCTCTGTAGCATATACCTTGTTGTCCTTGGGCAACAAGCGGAGGTGTTGTCGCACGACAGGTTGTGGAGTATCATCAATACTGCTGTAGATGCAATATACTGATCGCCACTATCCCCAGCATATTTTACGAGAAATGTGACCTTCATTCCGTTCCTGGTCCTGATGGGGATTATACCTCTTTTCTGCTTCTCTCTGAGATTCGCTGTTGACGGCCGCTTACAAATCTACGCTCAGCTTTCCTCTGAGCAATATACAAGGTCAGTCGTACTCCTGCCCGTTCAGAATGATCCGATCGTAACTAGGGTCCATCTGAAGCCATCGGCCTTCATGTTCTCCCCAATCGAGTGAAGACTATGCCCATGGTGGGCTTCGTATACGCGTTGATTGTTCTGACATATGACTCGAAGCCTGCAAGGTCTTCCCCTGCACCTTACTGCTCCTCTCTCAGAACCCCTTCACTCGTGCTCAGCAAATCAATCGCTCCCTCGAGACACTTGAAGCTACCTCGAAAGCCCTCGCTCGGTCCACTTCCCGAAGGTCAAAAGACTCACTGACGGTGCCTTCCATTCGTCCTCCCCTTAGGAGCAGATTCAGATGCCCATCCTCGATTCCGACATCGTCAAAGCCTCTCCGCATCAGAAGAATCAAGCAGCCTGTATATACAGCCAATATACATACACGGATATAATCCAGAGAACCCCTCTTGGACACTGGCCTGTACGTGTCAACTATACTCTCTACACTTCTCCAGTCCGTCTTCTTGGCTTTCATGTTCCACCACCGAGGGGTGTGCCTCTCAGAATGTGGACTACAAGATGTGTCCGGGTCGGACAGGACCCAAACGTAACCCAATATATTGGAACAGAAATGCACATATATAACGACGGAAGCTTCGCCTTCAGATAGTTCAATCTACCTCAAACCTAGACGTAATTCAGACCGGTGCGGGGTAATTCATTCCGAACAAAACGTTTTTCTCGACACCGTTCTTGGTCAGCTGATAATACATTCCCGTGGACCCATGCGGGAACCCTCGTCCGAAGAGTCTTCATCGGAGCTGTTGCTGTCCGCATTTTCTCCATAGTCATGATCGTGGTCGTCGATGTCAAACTCAGCGCTGTGCATCGTTAAACGGTCAACCTGTCTATCTCTCTCTGCCGCCCGGCTCTGCAAACGCATGACATGCATAAACACCCTGGGTTCGATGTGCGATATGTGAGGCCCTTCCTCCCTCTCACGCCTGTTTTTCTCCATGGTCTTGTTGGCATCAGCTGGCAACGAGCCTAGCCGATCTGACGTGGGAGTCCAGATTTTGACGTCTCGCTCGATCCCGCTAGTGGCAAGAACTGTGATGAATGGGTGTGGTTCCAAGCAGTTCACCACCTGAGCGTCTCCGTGCAACATGTTGACCAGCTTGCCGTCTCTCTTCCTCCATATGTAAATCCACCCACAATCAGATCCGCTCACGACGTACTCTGTATTCGGCCCGAAGAAATTCACACCTTTCACCGTCTTCGAGTTTCTGTGACCGACGAACACGAGCGGCTTCGGATCTTGGATCGGTTCACCGCCACCGTGACGGTGTTCTTTCTGCCAGGTCAAAGGATCGGGTCCCATGCCCATGTCCTTGTCGAACAAATAAACTAGCTCATCATTGTACGAAGCGAGTAACTCTTCTTGCTGAGAATACGCAACGCACGTGATGTGAACCGTGTCATCCCCGACGAGATGGGCCGGAGAGAAGCAATCCACGGGTTGCACATCCGCGCCATCCATAGCCACCTTGCGGATGTCGTAAACTCGCGCGTACTCGTCGGAACCCCCGATGGCAAAGTAGTGAGGATTGCGGGGATTGATGGCAATTGTGTTGAGCCGGACCACGCTCTTCGATCTCCGATGTTTGCGGCCCGGAGTGTTGCAGGTGAACAGCTTGGTGCTCTTCTCCTCGCGGAGATCAAAATGTTGCACGACGCCGTCTTCTCCGCAGCTGAAGAAAGTCCGCGGGCTTCCTGGTTCGATTGCGAGCTTGTGCGCCCGCCCCCTGTGCTTGGCCAGTTTCTTCGTAGTCACGCGCCCTGTCTCGGAAATCTCACCGTGCCGGACTTGGCCATCGGCGGCACAGCTCACGATGCTTCGGTCGTCAGAGAATGGCATGATCCTGGCTTGGAAGACATTTTGGTGGTGGCCCGATGGGTAAGAAAGCTTTCTGATGTTGGCCGCCCAGTCCCAAATGACGATTTCTGTGTCGTCCGATGCGGAAACTAACAGCTCTCCGCTCGGATTGAAATGAACCGTATTGACGCAACCATCGTGCCATTCCAATTTGGTGAAAAGCTTCAGACGCTTGATTAGATCCTCGCAGCCGCCGCTTTTCCGGGCGAAGGCAATCGGGTGCAGGTTGCCCGTCTGCCTCTGCCATATCTCCCTGGACCCGCATCTGTACAGCTCTGATTTGTGCATGGTTCCCCAAGGTGGTCGAGGCCGTCCCACCGCCTCGTCGCCCACCACAATCTCTGACAACCTGTCAGCGAACCTTCAACCACGAAAGAGTGCCAATCAACATGAAAATCTCGCATCGTCCGCGAAGATCTCACACCAGAGCTCCCGATGTCCACACTCCCCGGACGGTACCCAACAGCATCGCAGCAAAACAAGGCACGCAAGTGATCCCTCGTTGCGCAAAGCTCGACCAGACACTTGCAAAAGCATTACGGTGCATTCGAGCGAATTACAGCGCATTTCAGTGCATCCCGGTGCATCTGCCCAAGGTCGACATTCAAGAACAAATACAGGCGTCCGAGGGTTTCTCAAGAATCGAGAGCGAGCGAGCAAATGCAGCGACTTTCGGTCCGACTTATCAGGCCCTTCGGTCGGTCATAGCAAGAAGACAGCGGGTAATAGAATTTCGCCGATCCGGCCCAGTAACGCATCCCATACCTTCGCGACGAATTGCTGCGCCACGGATCACCGGCCCTGTTCCAAGTCTCAATACGGTCACCGGCGACACTCGAATTCCCGTCTCGCGGGGCGGAATTTACCTGCGAGAGAACGCCGGCACTCGTCGCTCACCACGGAGCTAATGGAGCAGAGCCCAATTGCGCACGGGTGGTGTCGGTGGTGGGGCAGAACCGGCAAGCCAAGGTCGCCCGGGGGCCTCGGCAGAAGCAGCAAGAAAAGCAAAGCTAAAATTGACCGGCTGCCAACATCACGCGCGGCCCAGGCCCACACACCGCGACCGCCTCGACGCTCATCACCGCGCCCGCAATCTTCACGCCCACTAATCGATCGCCCGGCAGTCCCCAAGAACGCTACGCAAGCGCTCCTCCTCGTCAGCTCCTCGACGCTCCCTTTCGCTTCCCTTTCTTCTTCCTTTCCCTTCCTCCGCTCGGACATCGATCACTCGCTCGCACGAAGACAGGACTGTGAGGAGCGTCGGAAGCGTTCCGCGGGTCTGGTCTCAATCGACGCTAGCCCTGCCCTAACTGAGGAACGAGAGCCACATCGGGCGGCTCAGAGCCTTGGACCCCATCCGCGGGCGGAGGTCCGTCGATCTCGATCGGATGACGAGGATTTCCCGCGAGGCGTTATCGCCAATTCGCGATCGGAAAAGAAAGGGGAAAAGAATTGACGAGCCTGAGCAAACAGTTTCGCAAGCTCATGATGTAGCCTCGTAGTCTTTGGGGCCCAAGTCTGCATTTCGCCCGGATGCCGCCACGTCGGTCCAAACGTTGCCTCGGCCGTCAGATTGTCCACCACGTGGCGTCCGCTGAAATGCCCTCGTCTGTCCAACTGCCCACTCGGGCCCACAATCATATAATAAAGCTTGGGGATAAACTTGCACCGGGGTTCCGGATTATTCTAATTTCAACACACGGCAATGGCAATCTTCCGGAATATGAACGGGTGAGAAATCGGTTATATTCTTACTAATTATGGGCGACCGTGTGCAGCCGATCTCCAATGAGATTGGGTCGGATGGATGAAGTGCGATGCTGTGATCGCGACTGTGATTGCGATCAGGCGATTTGGCAACTTGTCCGAGCGATGCGGACAAAGAAAGAAGAGTTGGCCACAGAGGATTGTCGCGAATGAGCTCCCGCTCACATCGCGACTCGGGGGAGTCGCGAAACGAGCTCCATCGACGAGTAAATGCTCCGACAGCGCCGACGAAAGCACGTATTGACTACGGCAGAGTCATTCCCAAGATATCTATCTCAATATCTCGATGTTTGTTCTACCGGAAATTTCGATGTCCTTGTGACTGGCGGGCTATTTTTAGGATTCACTAAATCGATGACCGCAAAAGCGTACACGCGCTCGGATCGGTCGTCGAGTTGGACTTGTCCAACACATGGTCGTTGATATTAAAGGGAACTCTTTTCGGCCTGTTTTCCAATATCATAATCTTCAGTCATTTGCTTATGGGGCTTCGTACGTGACGTGGCACGTGGGTACATACAGCAGAAAGGACGGCATACGCATAAAGTCCTAGAGCCATGAAATCATAGAAAGCTATGTATAATACGGATTTGTATGCGTAGAATTCATATCTTTCGTACTCTGGCATCGAGTTATGCACACCCACCCACTTACGACGGTTCTTAAGAGAGTGCTAGAAGTGTTATCTTACTATGGAACAATGTGTATTGAATGCAGGCAATGTGTATACATTTTCCTACGACCTGCTTTGACCGGTACATATCAAATGCGAGTAATTATGCTAAGTGATGTAGAAAATTTGGCCTTGGCACTTCAAATATCTCAGAGGCGAATTTCATAATTTCCATTGTAATAATTTTCATCTTACCCCTAGGAAGCGGCTAGCCCAAGAAATATCTCATGGTTCTCCTCATCCTCTTTGATCCATTTCTTGATATTTAGTGGATGGATACACAGGCGTGTATATTTCATAAGTAGAAAAATTCCTACCGTCATACCTTGTGTCACATCGACCCATCAAATCAATGGGTTTAAAACCAACAAGGTAAAAAACGGCCAGTCTCTATGATATGTGACGAGATCATGATGATGAATATGTCCTACAAGACTTATTATGTCTGAATTGTCAAAGTCAAACCTTTTACAAGGTTTGGACCTCAGATATTACCTCACACAAGGTGATTCTTCTTTATTTATAGTGTCAACTAGTACTTTGTACGAAGAAATGAAAGCAAGTTATTCAATAAAATAACTCAATAAGTCAGAGAAAAATGATAAAGAGTTTTGACTTTTTTAATAAGCTCATCTGCATTCGCTCACGAACATACGTATAAAAGTCTGCACTAATAGCGTCTTAAAGCTTTAAAATCACAAGCAAAGAGGTGACTTCTCTACATTTTGCTATATATAAAGATCTTGGCGAGAATCGCCACACCCGCCATCTATAATTGGTTATACTGACTTATCCTACTGAATCAAGTATAAATGCTGCCTTATGCTTGTAAATGCAATACATAATAATGCTCCACGGGAAGACTCTCAAACACTATAAAATACATTGTGCTTATATATTGTCCTCCAAGTAAACTTCAAATCAGTTCGATCCTTGCTAAAAAAATATTGTATGATCTCTGTAAAAAATGAGTATTTTTTTATTTCACACCAAAGGTTTGAATCAAAAAAGTTGAACCAAGATCCAAGAGCATGCATCTTTGCCAACACAAAAACAAACCTTAGTTCTTGGGTATAAACAATAGCTACATCTACCGATCATACATCTAAAACACGCTGAGCCTATCCATATATCAAAGTGAATCGATTCACTCTAAAAAACTCTGTGGAGAAGTAAGATTAAGATGAAAGCTCATGTGGTATCTAAAGGGTTGTAGTGTTTCTAGTAGGACGACAAAGATGTTGTAAGGGATATAAGCATTACTTGACATCACTAGCATACGTTACTAGAAGAAATATATCTGCATCATAAACCAAAGATAACATAAATGACATAAGTGCAAATTGACAAAGTTGGCATCTCATTTATCTCATCCTTCCCATTAAATTGCCTAATATGTTTGTCTTCGTTCAAGATTCTAATCAAGCATCCACGGATCTTCGATTGAATGATTTTTTCTTAAAATTTTTTTATCAACTTCATTTCAAATGTGATAACTAGATAATTGAAAAAAAAGCTACCCAACAAACTAGATGCATTGATAAACAAAAATAAAAGAAGTTCGACTAAGAATTAATCAGAGCTAAGTTATCAAAGATTGATCATCCACATGTATATCATACTTGGATGATCTCTCATTAATAATTTTCCAACAGTGCATTGGCATTGTCAACTTAGCGTGACACAATTTTTCTACATCTATTTACATATAATTTGCGTTTGACATCCCTCAATGTCATGTCTTTTTTCACCTAGACCAAGCCCTGCATTTTTACGCCTCGATTTTTACACTTACGAGCTGAAGCTAGATAGATAAGTAGTCAAAGCATGTACAATCAGGTGACAAAAGCTAAATAAAAGATGATTCATAATGTTTGTATCATCCGCGAAAGAACGGAACAGAAATTTGGCATGGTCAGAATCATAGACATGAAAACTCCATAATGAGTCATGGTTAATTAAAGACCTCTCGAATGTTTTACTTTCAAGTATAAGCAGCTCATTCCACGGCTCCTCAAACAAAGCGAAAAGTTCAATTGATCGTTTTGTATCTATATAGCAATAATTTGTAGAACTTAGTAAAATAGCTCAACTATCTGATACCTTGAATTCCATTCTCTCATTTCTTTATTTTAAACTAGATAAATTAACTGATTTTTCAACTTAGTATACTTGGAATAATATGATGCTAAATGTATATTAGTTCAAACATACATAATCAATTAAACTAAATCTAGAATTTTTAGTAAGTGTTTCTTGTCTCTTGATGTGAAATCGACCATAAAATTTTATTTTAAATTTTATTAATAAAATAACATCAAAATCTTATCTTCATTATTTAACATACTTGTGTTTTAAACCACTATTTTTGAGAAAATTGAATTCTTGAATGAAATATTGAAAATTAATAAAATCATATTAAATTACATGATTTATTTTTTCTTGATTACATATTTTTATTTGACAAAGAATACCAAAGAAGTCACATATAATCATCAACATTTCAATACACAAACAATTCAAACTGGATTTGCATAAGAACATTACATATTCCAATTTTGTTCAGAAAAATAAATAATTTTTTATTTTGACAAACATTTTTTATAGGGGTTTATTTAAATATATCTGTAGATAAATTTTAGGTCTTCATATATAGAAAATAAATAATATCATGTTTTTAATTATAAAAACATGATAATTTTCCTTATTGCGCATCAACACAATTGTGAAACTGTTGTGATACCTTCAAACTAAAGTTATCAAAAACAAAACGAAAGAAGAATCTTCAAAGTAGCTAAATCTACATGCAAAATGAACTTGCTCATTAATAATGATACTAAGATTAGTTATCTTGAAAGTTTTATGTTGTACAATGCATTAAATTCTTTGTCCAAACTATGTGAAATTAATATGATATATATATTGTATGTTTTTGAACATACATACAATTTTACATATACGCACATTAAATGTCATCCTATTACTAAAAGTTTAAAATGAAAAAATTAACAAGGATGTCAATACGAACATATAATATGAGATTTAATGCATAGGTTTCAGGTAAGATCATATATTGAGAAAGAAAATCCGCGGAGTTTTTCTTTTTTTTAGAAAGTAAAATATGATATGTGTGACTTTAACACACATATTTCAGTTTTTTGAAGAATTGGAGACGGTTGAAGGAATCTCACATGAGAACTGAAAACATGCATATTTGAAGCAATCACTATTTAGTGTTTTACATAATTAGATGAAATTCCATACATTCTAAATAATAATATAGTAAAATTAATTTCAATTGAATGAAAAAAAGCCTTAATGCAACAATCATTTTATTTCCAAATCAATATGCTCTCAAGAAGCAATTGTAAAAATGGTCACTGAGCATAAAAACCTCCGAAGAACACCTCCTTTATTGATCATCTCATACAACAAGGTTGGTTCATTGATGATCAGGAGTACAAATCACTATACAGCAGTCACCCGAACAACGTTGATAGAACTCTCAACATCAGAGAACGAAACTGCATAAAGTCTAAGAAAACTACAAAACCAAGCAATAACGTGGCTACAGACCTTGTCACCACAACACTTCTTATACCGTACAATGAAACACGCCACACAATCCTGTCAGCCCCTGCTTTCCATTGCGTCCTTCAACGGCATTTAGAGTACCATGGTCAACGTACGGATCGAATGGAAGGGGATTGGAGTACAATGGAGACAGTGCATCGACAAGAAATTGCTTCAAAGTCCATGCACTTACTTACTGCAAGCTCTTGTTCAGGGAAGTCCTTCAATTACAAGAGACCTCCGGCTGCTTCCCCATACCTTCAGTATTTGAAGATTAAGTTGTTATTTAGCCGAGCCAGAACATATTTCTCTAGCAGGAAGCTTATAGACCTTCAACAATATCCGACTCAACCAACGACTTATCGGCTTCATTTGCTGCACTGGACGCAGGCGAATTGTCAAGGCTGTAACACCACGCTCTGGATGGCCGCACATTTCTTTTACTGTCCTGCGCTCGCTTCTCGCAAACACACTCAGAGACAAATTCAAAGATAATCTTGTAGAAAGCAGCACGAGGAGATGGACCACGAACGACAGCAAACTGCTCAGAACACGAGGAGGACTATTAGGGGTACGATTCAGTAGAATGAGGAGTCTGTCACCCTTGAAAATACTACTTCCCTCAGTGTCACACGTCAGGTTCATTCAACTGCGGTCGACGTCCCTGCAGAACCGTTCCTAATTAGATATCAATCTTGCAAGGAAAGCAAGACCTGCATTTTACAGCCCGACATGATAAGGAAGATATCGCCATAGGCTGTCCCGTGAGTGATTTTCCTGTACAATCCATTACTATTTGCCCAAAAGTGTCCACTGATGTTAGATTCGTGCTGGACTTTAGCCCCTCATCAAACAAATCAGTGAAGAATGTGTTGCTTGCTTCAGCTGTCAACAGCCGAGCAGACTGAGAATGCTCACAATGCTCAGATGCTGGAAGACTTTTTTACAGCAAATTTCTGAGATCGAAAACAGCTTTACAGGTCGAAATCCCTGCAAAACTAGAAATGATCATGGGGCCGAGACAATCGAGCTTCTGGTGCGTAGATTCTGGTGAGATTCTGGGTAAGAGACAATCTTTGGTGGATCTTGTTGTCAACCCTTCTCCTACGGCGGTGCTAAGAGTGAACGGACCTGGTGGTTTGATTCTGTGAAGTTTGTCTTTTGGCTGAAGCATATTGGGCCATACATACGTACAAAATGTGGCCATAAAAGTATGAATGAATGGGTCAGGAATGTGGAGGGCACCGAGCCAACTGCATTATTGAATTGTGTAAATCATCAATACTCAAACTACTACTTGTAATGCCCGACGCTCCTTCAACCCATGGATGACTCGGTACTGTACATCGACTCCTTGAAGTTCCTTGAAACTTTCCGGTAAATAAAAGTAATTCGTGTGTCAATGGACTCCCTCAAGTTGCCAACAACTTCTACGTAAAAATTATTCAGTGTATAACATGATCCAACGAAGCAGAAGTTCAAGTAGAAAGAATCTGAAAAAAACTTCAAAAAGTTGGTCATTCAGATTTCAATTATTTTGACTTTGCTTCCGATTATGACCGGATGATGAAAATATGGAAGGTCCACCATGCAAGTAACCTGGCAACTAATATCACATTGTTTACATAAGCTAGTCATATCGGTCGGTCCTCACTGCTGGAGTATGTGGCAAGTTTGCAAAGAATCTCAACCAAATACAAAACAATGCAGGGAGAAAAAGTTGAAGAAGCCAGAGGTTTGGACCACTTTGAGCACCAATGGTACAAAAGTCTTTGCACATTCGTATGGACTTTCACGAAGAGGTTCTGCTCACCAACTCGATGGTGATACGCCAAATAAAATAAAATAAAATCCCCTCGAGGCATGTGGCGTCATCCAGGTAAAACCGAGAATCAACAATCGAGAACTGATAGGTTGTGCTAAGCACCTGGTTCCGAAATATGCCATACTGACACGGTGTTAAAAATTCACGTGAACGCTGCCGTCCAAATGTTGGATCACGTTTGAAACCACAAATGTATTATATGTCACTCACTCGATCGTGCAGACGCCAAAATGCGGGTGGGAGGCGCACCACAACACATGCTTTCATCAGTACTTTGATGCGCAACCTTCGCTTCACAGATCGTTATAAGAAGACTGGGCTCAGAGTACCACATCAAATCTACTCGGTGAGACAGATCTGCATCGCTTGCTTGCTGCCTGTAAACTTCTCTTTTATCTGAGTCGATCAGAGCCAGTTTTCTTTCCAGTCTGCAGAGAGCCGACAAATATGCCGACTTTCGATACCGAAGTAGTTCTGGACCTCCCTGCAAAGCGATTATGGAAAGCTCTGAAAGATGGCAACACTCTGTTCCCCAAGATAGCCCCACAGGTCTTCGCGAGCGTCGATCATGTGGATGGAGTCGAAGGAGAACCCGGAGCAGTTCGCAGAATCAACTTCGGTCCAGGTTCACCTTCGTTGATCTATTCTCTCAATCTCATTCGCTATTCCATGAGTGAAAACTGAACCCACCCAGAAAAAATACAAGAGGAAATTGTCTTTGGTGCCTGTACAGGAAACGATGATTAGAACTGTCGGAATGGAGAAGAATGAAAGTTGATGAGTCCCGATCAATTCACAAATCTTCACCACCGACCACTCTTAGAGATCACTCGTGCCAAAACTTTCAGATCGATTTGCTCATGACAACATTGCATCTCCATTATCTCCTATCTATCTGCTGCTGTAAGTCTAGTCAGTTCCGGAGTAGAGTATGCATCATATATTCTCCAGCTTTGGGTTTGGTACTGGGAATTACAGTTGGACCCAATTTGGCGTGAGACGATTTTGTCAGCTGGTCATGTAGAATCTGTGGGATTGTGTTTGACAGCTGCTCCGGCGGGCTCATTCGTGACGGAGAAGTTTGATAGCATCAACTACGGCGAGATGACTGTTTCTTCGTTCGAAGTCGAGGGAGGCCATCTACGAGAGGGGTTCACCAGTTGGGAGTCAACCATGAAGCTGATTCCTGTAGGTGAAGACAAGGTGAAGGTTCACTTTACGTTTGATTACGAGGGCCCAGGTCCAGTCGATGCTTCAATCGCACAAGCCGAGGAAGGAAGCCCGCAATTGTTCAAGGCTCTGGAAGCCTATTTATTGTCTAACCAAGAATACCTCTGAGCTCAACGGATGCTTTCTTAGGAATTGAGTCCAATTGTATTTCGCGGACCAAATTTATGTCATTATATCAAGTCTCTCACGACTCCATTAGAGTACAAACATTCACTTAGATTTCTCGAGTGGAATGTCAAGGTCACTGCTTTGAAATCAGAAATTTATGTCTCTGGCGTTTTGCAGTTCGTTGGTCTCCAGCCAAACGAATGCCACCGAGTTGGAAAGCCAGATCAGAATATGGACATAATTCAGTGCCAGGACCAGAAAGCCAGCTTTAGAACATCTCAGTGCTCGCCCTCGTGAAGTGTCCAAATCGTTGCTCATGTTTGATCTCGGAGACTGGATTGGCAGGTTTGGACTCAGTGATGTGTTATCCTTATCTTCCTCCGACGAATTCAGGTTCCCCTGAAAGATTAATGTTAATCGGTGAATTAATCTGGGATCCACATCAAAATGTTCCGCTCTGCGAGTTCGAAAATGCTTGATCAACCAGCTCCAGATCAGATCAGAATAATTCACTCATGAACATTTTACATTCGACACTGAGAATGGTTGTAAAGAACCGATCCATGAATAAGCCTTGAAGGTGATGAATCGAAATGTATAAATCACTCACGAAACACGTTCCAGTGCTCACATTGGCATGATTCTTCCCGACTGAAATAAGTATGATGACAAGTCAACGTCCCCGTGTGAAAAACCGGTAGCAAAACTGACTTTGAGGCGGAGCCAAAGATACAGACTGCGCTTCTGAGTGCGCCGCTTGATGCATTCCAGCCATGTCCATCTTTCCTCTGCCTTCTCATCTTGTACTATTTACCAACATTCGATTCCGTCTACTGCTAGAATACGATCAAGCCTTTCGTTCGTGGAAAATCTTCAAGATTTCTCCATACGTCAGAGAGTGTAGTGAAGTGCAATGGAGACAGGATAAAACGCTGTTCGTGATGGATGGCAAAAATCACAAACTCATTTGGCTCGTGGAGCTGGTTACTATCCACGAATGATTGAAGCACTACGAAAGTATTTAGGCGTAGGAAGAAAAAACGCTCGTTTTATTACTATCACCCATGTTACAAAAAGAAAAATCATGACAGAGTTCATATGCCATCCATTTTCGTTGTAAAAGGTTGTTGTGTGTTCAACAGAGATATGTGCAGATTTTCTTGTACATAAGATCAATGTGCTGAACTCGAATATAGATCGAAGAATTATTGTAAAATGAAAGTGGAATTGTTATGTGAGAAATGCCAAGAGTATACGGGTAATTTAACCATAACAATTAAAAATAATCCTTACTTTCTTCAAAAATTTCTATGAATATTATCTATGTAGAAAGAAAGTGAAATAGATTGTTTAAAAAAATATTTACTTATCGACAAAGTATATGAGCAATGGAGTTTTCGGTTTCAACACTATTTCTTGTGTTTGAAATCATCATTGGAGATCAGCTGTCAGATTTGATGTCCATAAACTCAAAACTATCTTCGATTCATAGGGTTGAATGAATAAGTTTTCACTATGGTGAGTGTTTTTGGGATCAATATGTCAAGTAACTTGTATCACAAAAACTATTGATTTATTAAAAAACGTTATTCTAAAAATATGTTTGTGAGATTTAACATAGTGTTGAACTTCAGTTTTGATTTTCAGACAAGCTCATACATATAATATTTCACGAGAATCATAAATTAAATATAGGTGGTTGAACTTCACATGAGGTTAAGTTCGAGAATGTACATAAGTACTTCATCCCCAAACTCTCCACTATCTCTTCTCTACCGTGTATATGTAACAGAAACAAAAACATGCTTGTACTCGAATTAAATATACTAGACTCTAACTATAGACCAAGCCTAACGAGCGTTATACTAACTATGGTTAACCATACACATATAAATTACTTTAGGTTCTCAATTAGATTCTGATCTATCCATAGTCACATTAAGAAGATGAAGAAAATTTTGATTTGTAACTCTATCCACTACAAGCAAGATGAAATGTCATGTCTTCTCCGATTCAATTACTATCCTTGATATTACTCTTACTATAGACAAGATTGGAAACATAATTTCAAGTTTTAGATATATGATGAGGATAATGAAAATAAATTTCAGATATCTCAAATGTTTATGAGATTTTGATCAAATATTTGATACTAAATCTTAAATTTCATTTGATTTATAGATCTTTTCTATATATGTACATGACATATTTTGGTTAAAATTATAACTATATATATACACACACACTTACTCACACTATATTGCAAAATATAATAACTCAAACTGTTGAATATGCTATTTTTATGTACAAAGTTAGTTTCAAGTTGATATTCTCATATCTATGACAATTAGGTTGGTTGTAATAGATATGAGAATACAATTAGGTTGGTTGTCGAGCTTGTTATAGACATGACGATGATCTCTTGAAAATGATGAATTTCCATTTTATTTTGAAATTTAATTCTTAACAAAGTAATTAAGATTCGTGTAAAGCATAGCCATTAAATTTTATTTTATTTTTTTAACTAAAAATGTCTTACAAAATGATTGAGAGATTGAAGATTGACCATCTTCGTTGTCCTTTTAAATCTGTTGATTATTTTGAACTGAAAGAACTTACATGATAAAAAATTAATGTAATGGTATTAAGTCACTATAATTCAAGTTGTAATCATGACACAATTTCACGATTTTTATTTGTAAAGTTTCTTTTATACGTCCCTTTCTTTGGTGTTAAAATAATTAGATTTTTAAATGATCGTGTATCTCTTCAAAATAATAATTCCTCTAAAATAAAAACCTAAAAAAATTTAGTAATAAGTAAACGTGTGAAACATATTATTAATTTCTATGAAACTTAACTAAAAAAACTCCTGATCCATACTGATGTATATCTTTTGGAAACATTGATTCTAGAAGTCATCATCCTTAGAAAGATTATTACATATCTCATTCTATTTATTCAATAAATAAGTAAGAACTTTGACATGAGATTCACAAAGCTTGAAGTTTTATAATGTGCATGCTGTGCACCGCTTTTATATAAAACGTCAAATTACAACTTGTGGTTGTAGGAGTAAGGGTTTATTACTTAAATTGATCCGTTGTTATTCAGTAATTAACAATAGTTGTTTTCACAAACAACACTGTTTATAAGAACTTTTCCACCAACTAATCGAGTCACATTGTGTGAAACAGAAATCCCTTATTATAAAAGATACTCTATTACGAGTACTTATTTTTTTGACAATATAAGATTCCAGCAACTTCAACTTAAAACACTTACAATAGATAAGATTAATGACATAATTATATCAGTAAATAAATATCTTGAATGAAGAGGTATTTGGTTATGATTTTGAAGGATCATCCGTATAAAAGCACGAAATTATGTTGTAACTATTTACAAAGAACAGGGAAAAACACTTGGGAAATTTGCGGTATGTCTACTTTCATACACCGTCCTCAAATAGAAGACGGAGCGTTCGATGATACAGTTGAAAGTTTCAGGCTTTCCTCGTGGCTTTCAGGCTCAGACCGCTGCCCGGGACCAAACACGTGGGCGGCGCTTGCTCGATGCTCGTTGGTCGGTAGGTGCGTCTCGTCCCGCGGCTCCGCCTCGTCTCCTGGTCCGAGACTCGGACCAGGACCTTATACAGGACCTGGTGGTTGAATCCTACGATTCTTTACGTGACCGGATCCTCCGGTTCCACCAACAATATTACGGCCGGAAACACGGTGCTAGCCTTTCTCTTTCCATCGATTAGCGATCGGGTCCCCAACTCCAAGGTTTGAAATACCCCTTAATTACTACACACATGATTTCCATCTAATCTTCCCTTCACGTAGATCTAGTTTCTGTATATATTTGGTGTTTAATACTTACTTTTAGAGGGTGTACTGCTCCGACAACAGAATTTAGTGTATTCTTGCAATATGTGTACTTTGTTTAATACTACAATTTGAGTCTTTGATTTTTTTTGTCGCTACCTTATAGGGCAGCACTGCCATAATTCAGGACACTTCGTTCTTACTTCTTACATTTTCTTCGGTAGTTATTAATTGACATTATTTGACTCTAGAGTCCTCTGGTGATGCTTAAGGGTACATGACACAACTCTTGAACCTTGATTTACCAACTTGATTTTTGTCGATGTCCTGATTTACATCGTGTTTTTAAAATCATTTTTAAAATTGTAATTTTTTTTGAAGACAAGAATGTAAATTTCTACTTTTATTCATCGATCCTTTTAACCAAGGATGTGAAATTAAAGCAATTTTATTTTTTGCAATTTATTATTACTTTGCTTTTTCTACTATAAATTAAAAAAATTAGTATAAAATTTTTGTAACCGAAAATAATAATAATAATAATAATAATTAAATTTATAAATATTATAAAGCGGATTCTTTTATATAGAAATTAAAAATCCGCTTTAAAAAAATAAAATTACAATAAAAAATTTAAAATGAGAATCTATCCAAACTTTGCTATTTTTTCATACCTAAAAAGCCTAGACTACGGAATGACAATTTTGGTCATTTATGAATCTAATTTTCTCGATTTAGACTTTATTGAAGCACTATATGCCAACTTCATCGTGGCCGACGACTCTTAGTTGCGGATGGAAAACTCTCACCCACTTCTGCAATTTTTATACATCCAACACCTTAGAGAATAAAAATCTACAGTTCGAGGAGAATGTGCGTAACTTAAACAGGTAGGTAGTTCATGCTTCTAAATCTCCACCAAGATTTGTGCACCAAAAACCTTAGTTTTAATTCTTTGTTTTCTTCAACTTCCAACCACATTCCACGGTGAAATGCGATGTAATCGGATCCCAAGTTTAATTAATTTTTAAAGTAAAGTCTGTACTCCGCGAAGATGTCGAGAGCGTCAGGTAAGCATCATGCAGAGTTCCACACAAGACCAAGGCCCACAGACGCGGACCACGCAAATTCAACAGTTTGTACCTCGTTACAGCAACCAACCACGTGAACGAAGCTGACTGCGTAATACGGTCAACGTACCGAGCTCGAACCACTTCTTCAGCCGCATGAATGAAGTCGACGGCCCCGTAGACCCCGGACCCTTTCGAACGTTTCGGTCAAATCTAGTCTCGGGAGTCCGGGGGGTTCGTTCGTATTTTCATTCCGGTTTTCGATTCGTGCTTAGGGGCTGGTGCTGATTTAGCGGAGCCTCGTAATCTCGAAGTATGCAGTTCACGCATTTTCTCTCCATCATGACTTCGGGCAGGGCCCACCGCCAACCGCACGCGATTTCTGGCAATGGCTGTGTTCCGGCAGGGAGAGAGCATCTCATGCTCTCGCTCTCGGCTCTGAGCGCAGTCGAATGCGGGAGTCAAATAAGTGTCCGGTTGCTGCGAGTCAGGATGATGGAATAATTATTGCTCTGACGATGTGGATTCAGTGTTCTTGAGCCCTGCCTGGTGAGGGTAGCACTAGCTTGCAGTGCGAAGGGTTTGCAGCAGTACGCCCCAAGCTCCTCCCGGTGCATCTTCTCGTTGTTTGGTGAAGGAACGAGAAGAGAGGAGCAGAGGTGTCGCACTGCATTGTTGGTTGAAGCGATGGAGTCTCTGAGGGCCGCTGCGGTCTCGACCCAACTGAAATTCCCCTCTGCTTGCGATGTACAGAGCTCTCGAAGTGCCAGGTCTGCTCGAAATGTCGTCGTGCGCTTTGATCGCGCTCTTGGATCTCTGTCCTTGAACAGGAAGGCGGGACTTCATGCCAAAAGCTGTGCAGATCTTCCAAAGACTAAGACCTTCAAGCTCAAGAATTTGAGCCAGGGGTGCAGAGCTTCCGCGACTGCCGCACCAGCTGCTCCTGTTGAGGAGATTGAGTTGCCTCCAGTGAAGAATATCTCGGGGACCATCAAGCTTCCGGGATCTAAGTCGCTTTCCAACCGTGTGCTTCTCCTCGCTGCCCTTGCTGAGGTTAGTTTCATAAGATTTGCTACACGGAACAAGCGCTGTGCGCTCTGAGGCTTGGCGATCATGATACTTGTCTGGCAGTTGAATTTTGTACTGTTTTCCCTCTATTTTTCTAAAAGCACCAATTTATTTATGTTTGCAATTTTTCTTATGGTCTTGTCGTGGAGAAGTTAACCAATCCCTAGAGCAAGCCTTTATGTCGTGAACACAATTGTCTGCATGTGTTTGTTTTACTTAAACCGACTACAGACACTTCTATTTTATTTGGATATAAAATGATCAATTCAGGCCAGGTGCTGGATGGACTCGGTGACAGTGTCGACCAATTTCCTCCGATATTTAGACCTCTGTACCGAGAATCTATTCTGGAAGAATTGTCTCGAGGAGTTTTTTCAAGCCTTGAGAGTTGGATTATGTTATGTTCAATGCTTGAAGATCATCCTTAATCATTAGAGATTTATAATAGAGGTATCTCACAGGCTTGTCCTGGACCTGCATTGCTGAATATAGTTGCCCATGAACTGTAGTGTACAGTCATTTATATATCTGCCGGAATTTTTCTAGTTTTTTTTTCACTACTTGTTTGCCTCTGTTGAACTCATGAAGTGGTGACGACTGGTCAATTTTGTTTGTGCGATGAACTCATGATTAGCTTGTAACTCTTGTTTGGAGTCTGTAAGTTAGAAAATAGCAAGAAGAAAATTGGGTTCTCGCATGAAGCTCGCATCCTTTGGTGTTTGACAGGGCACAACAGTTGTCGATAACCTTCTCGACAGTGATGATGTTCGATACATGGTTGGCGCGCTCAATCAGCTGGGACTTAAGTTAACAGAGAACTGGGAGACTAAGCAGATCATCGTTGAAGGTTGTGGTGGCCTCTTCCCTGTGGGAAAAGAAGAACAGTTGGTTGAGTTGTTTTTGGGGAATGCTGGTACTGCCATGAGACCATTGACAGCGGCAGTAGCTGTAGCAGGTGGAAAAGCCAAGTAAGCAATCGGCCCTGTTATGTTATCGGCCCTCTTATGTCGTCTGTGGATTTTTAGTATCTCTTACAAAACCTCGAGGGAGATACAAGGAAGTAGATCCGTGTTAGATAACTTCGGTTTTCTTTTGTCATCTCGATTCTGGCTTTACCTTTCTTTAACTTTTCATATGTACGTAGTTCAAGATTTCGACCAATTCTAAAAAATTTGTTTTGGCTGCTTGGAGATATCAGCTGGAGGTTTCTATGTGTTCACAGAAGAAACATTATTTTTTTGTTTGATGTTTTGATCACCATTACCTCGAAACTGAGCTGGTGTCCTTTATGTGCACTTTTAAATCCGGGTGGTTTCTAGGGCACTTTTGTATGCTTTATAGCTTCAATGACCTTCACATTTCATCAAGTCGCACCTGCACGCAGTGAAGCTCACAGTTGCTCAGGAAGAATCACAGGTCAGAAGACCTGCAAACTCTTGTCTGTTGTTGTCAGTGTTTCTGACAATGTCATACAACAGATATATCCTGGATGGAGTACCACGTATGAGAGAAAGACCTATTGGGGATCTTGTTGAGGGTATGAAGCAGCTTGGAGCAGACGTCAGCTGCAGCGAGACTCAGTGTCCACCTGTGCATGTGAACGCAGCTGGTGGACTTCCCGGAGGAACGGTAAGTGGAAGAATTTTATCTGCCGGCATGCAATCTGTTGATTGTAACAAGCGTATTAGTTTGCATCGATGTTGCCCTGATATGAGATTGTCGTTCCAGGTAAGGCTCTCTGGAGCTGTAAGCAGCCAATATTTGACGGCATTACTTATGGCGGCACCATTAGCTCGTGAAGACATCGAGATTGTGATGGTCGACGAGCTGGTGTCAAAGCCGTATGTGGACATGACTCTGAAACTCATGGAGCGTTTTGGAGTTAAGGTGGAGCGCTATGGAGACTGGAAAAGATTCTCTATCAAGGGTGGGCAGACCTTCAAGTATGTATCCAGTTTGATTCTCAATCCAACTATTTTCTTATTTCATTGAAACATTATTTTCCTTAGTTCACCCCGGAGATGAACTCTTTGAGGTGCTGGTCATCACATGGAAAGGCATGGTTAGGCATCTGCAGAAGCAGTAACAAGAAGACGGTTTCGATGCACTTGATGGTTGATCGACGAGACCTTGATGTAACTGTGTCTAGGTCACCAGGAACAGCCTACGTTGAAGGGGATGCTTCCAGCGCTAGTTACTTCCTTGCGGGTGCTGCCATCACCGGAGGAAAAGTAACAGTCGAAGGGTGTGGATCTAGCAGCTTACAGGTCTGTAATACATGAACCTCTTCCAGGTTATATACTGCTTCGTCATGATGGTGGTGTGTTGTGGATCTGGATTCAGAGTATCCTAATTCTTGTTCATAATCCAACTGAGATGGATACAATGTGCGTAGGGAGATGTGAACTTTGCCGAAGTCCTCGGACAAATGGGATGCAAGGTGGATTGGACCGAGTATAGCGTGAGTGTAACCGGCCCACCTGTAAACAAAGCCACAGGAAAGCGGCTGAAGGCCATCGACGTGAACATGAACGCCATGCCCGATGTAGCAATGACACTTGCTGTGGTTGCTCTGTTTGCTGATGGCACGACTGCTATCAGAGATGGTGAGTAGCAAGATTACCTTCACGTGAATATTATATTATTCACGTGAATTAAGTTGGGCTGATTTGTGTTTTTTCTGAGTGTTCTGCTTGATCTTCCCTCCCATCTAATTTCTTCTTGTCCCCAAGCTGTTCCTACTAGCACCTTTGAGCTACGGTGCGGGGTCTATGGTCTCCAGGCTGTGACAGACTGATACTGATGAGCAGAGTTCTGGAAAACTTGCAGTTGGCAACTGGAGAGTAAAAGAGACAGAAAGGATGGTGGCTATCGTGACAGAACTCGGAAAGGTGAGATTATATTCAAATGCTTCTTCTTGAAATATGCTGATATCAGAATTGTTTCTCCTCTTTATCATGGGCCCGCATTCCCAGGACCAGCAGATCTCCTCTGCAGTCACTCGTGCTTCTGCAGTATAGCCTACCTCCATGTACTGGAGAGGATACTAAACAGGAACATACTACAGCAGATCAATCTGTGTTTTTTAGACGGTCCCAGGTGTCATCAACTCGTACTAATCATTGGCTAACATTGGTACTAAAAACTTGCTGATCATCCCTCATGTAGATTGGAGCCATTGTTGAAGAAGGACAAGATTACTGCATCATTACACCTCCAGAGAAACTTCAAGACGCAGCCATTGACACTTACGATGATCACCGCATGGCCATGGCCTTCTCTCTTGCTGCTTGTGGTGACTCGAAAATTATCATCAGAGATCCTGGCTGCACAAGAAAGACCTTCCCAGATTACTTCGAGAAGTTCGCACAATTTTCGTCTGCCTAGAAGTTACAAATTAGAGCACGCCTATTAAAATTTTTAGGTCTAGAAGTTCGCCCATTATTTCTTCAATAAGCTTGAGTTCGTTAGTTTCAACAGCCAGCTGTGATTGGTTGGCTCGGACTCTGAAGCCGAAAATTCCACCAAAGATCTTAGAGAAGGTCAAAGAGAAGATCAAGTATTCATCTATAGGTTTTGATCGCCGCGGTTAAGTTCTGGGGACCCCTGAGATTGGATATAGTCATTGCAGCCAAGCGACTTCTGTACAGAAGTAGTGTAGGAAGTTGAAGAAGACTTCGGAGTCAGAATCTTCCAAGACTCCATGGGAAGTGTTTAACTAACTACGTCGAGAATGTCCACATCAATGCAAGAATTGACTGCCTCCATTTTGTGCTGTGTTGACTGATAGCTTGGCTTTGAGCAACTTTCTCTACTACTTGTATATGGCTTACCACCTGTCTCCTCAAGAGAGAAAAAGCTTAGCTTGTGCCAAATTGAAGCTCTCTGGTATGCATTGCAATCTTCACATCTCATACACAAAGCTACGTGTAATAGACCGTGCGATGGGGAAAACATGTAGCATTGAAGTTTCTCCATCGAAAGCATTCTTCCAAACTCAACCCGAACCACTTGATGACATCTGAGACTAAATTGTAACTATGAAGGAGCGCAATGTCATGGCTAAAGCTATTTAGCAGCGATCGACCGAAAGGCATGGATGTCCTCTGATCATATGTCAAACGGCATCAAAAGGTAATAATACGCATCATACCCTCTACCCATGTAAACGTTTCCACCCAGCCTGAAAGATTAAAAGCCACGCCATGGCTGAAAGTCTTCACGAAAATAAAAAATTGGTAAACCTGCAGGAAAAGTTCGAATGCTTTTGGCGTCAGGGTTTCATACTGCTGTCATTATTGTATGTCGAGCAGGGATGATGCTAGAAACACTTCACATCTTAGTTTGACTCCGAGCTTGATAAGTCTTGTGTAGGGTCGCTAGTCATGGTTCTGTATGAATGCTGTGCATCGTTACGTCAAATAGCATTCAAAACAATTCATGGCTCAAAGAGAAGTTCGATATGGATGGACAGTGGAACATGTCAAACTTGTTGCGCTCTTACTTCTTAATATAATTATTATGGTGTGGGACTAGCAACCTTCTCCTAGAGCAATATCATGAAAGAGTCCATGTAACCTCGTGTGCAAATTCGAAACAAACAGATGTAGAGTGAGTTAGTTCTTCATGGGAACTAGTGTTACATTTCGAATCATCTCACACTTGTCACACCAGCAAGAGAGCAAGAGAGCGCAGAATGTGTTGGAGCTGGGAGTGGATCTGCTCGCCAGTGGAAGTCCGTCCACGTGAGCAATAATGAGGCAGACGCATCACAGTGCGTAGAACGAACGTGTCGCCGAGCTCCAGTGTAATGAATCTCTCGGCTTGACTGGTGCCATTCTTCATTGCAGAGCTCGGAGCTCATTCGAGCGCAATAAATCCTCGTGGATCGGTAGCGGACCCTGACTTTCGGGAGTGCCCTGCCCTGCCCTGACCAGCCCTGACGTAGCTTCCGGTATTCCTTTCTCCCCCGACATTGAGCTCGCCACTTCTCTTCTTCTTTGCTTGGGAGGCAGATTCTTTCGGAGCGTGTCCACGTTGATTCTCGAGGTCCATGTCGTGAAGAGTGACCTGGATTTGATCTTTGGAATTTGGTTGAAAAATCGATCCTGCGCTTGATTTTACAGATCCAGCTGAGAGGAATTCTGTCAGCTGCGTATCTGCTTTTGGACTCGAGGAGGAGGAGCATTAGTCGATTGAGACTCGTGGGAGGTTGTTGGTGTCGTAGGGAGCTTACGAGAGTTTACATTTTGACATCCCGTGTCGGAATGTGCCAGGTCTGAGGAGCGAAGGGCAGCTTTGTGGAGATGGCGGGGACAGCGGGAACAGGAGGAGGAGGAGGGTCGACGCTGCGCTGGTTGTATCTTTCGGCTTACAATGTGGTTTTGTTTTTCGGGTGGTAAGCATCTATTATCGCCAAGCGGTTTGTCCGGCTGAATGGCCTGAAACCCTGTCGTGGAGATTTCTATCTCCGACACGAGCGCAAAAACGAGTGGACTCAGAAAATGCAGAGAAAGCCATGAGCACAATAGTTTCTCTTCAGGTCGACAGCATGATTGAAAGCCAACCAATGCGACCTCGTGCTCCGAGCAGAAGAAGTTGGCGGAAGTTGTCGTAGATCGTTCGAGAGGCTGCCGGAAGTTTATCTTGGATTGATTGTGTCAGTACCTAGGCCTGTTAATTTAGTTTGTGGGTGGGAATCTTGCCTTCTCGTTAGGGTTGTCAAGGTGTTCCTCACTCGTCTCGCCGGTTGAATTTTGATATTCGCAGGCTTCAGATTCTATGCCTAGCTATCGAAGCTCTACGAAAGGACGGGCCCGCTTCAGTGTACGCTGCTGTCGAGAAGCCTTTGCAAATTTGGCAGACTGCTGCCTGCTTTGAGGTAATGAATGAGACTCGTGCAGCTGTTTTTTCTTCTTTCGATTGCAATGTCGTGGAAACCGAATGTGTCTTTGGTTCCAACATAGCCAGACTGCATCCGCACATCGAAACCATCCTGCCAATTTGAGTAGCTCTGGTTCTTGTAATTATAGCAGGCACTCTCGACTTCCTGCATTATTTTCTCAGTGATTGTAAATTCACACACTTGTTTTTGGGTCCACGTTTACTTCGCAGATATTCAACAGTATTGTCGGTGAGTTTTCCGTTGATCTCCCCGTCCACCTACATTTCTTCAGCTGCCACCGATCTGCCTGCAGAAATAGCTGCTCTTAGCAAAATTCGATCACGTTTCCTGCGCTGCATCCAGTATCCCTGACCATCTCATTCTCTTAATAGATCAGTCGTGGTCCAAATGCAAATGTGGGTGGATTTCGCAGCACGAACTAATTTCATGACCTGGTGCAGGCATTGTGAGATCTCCAGTGTCAGCCACATTACCACAAATCTCCTCCCGTTTATATGTGACTTGGGGTATTTTGTACAGCTTCCCGGAGGTGAGTTCTGATTGCAGCTTCGAGTAAATTCTGGCTTTATCAACCCACCGAAGGTTGCTCACGTACTGTTATTGGAGCTGAAGAAGGGTCAATAGGTGCTCAGCTCAAGAGCCGTCCAGAATATGGCAGCTAAGTGTCCTTCATATTTGTGTCGCAGACAAGGGAGCACTTTTTGGTGACGTCGTTGATCCTCAGCTGGGGTGTCACTGAGGTATTAATCAAACTACAGTCTCCGTCTTGTCAGATCCCCTGGTGGTGGTGAAAAATAAGTCTCATCCAGTAGTATTTGGCGCATGGGAGGCGATTTGATCCATGGCTTTTTGAAAAAATTATTATGGTGTTTTTTAGGCTGCAAAACTTCACCATTAATTTCTGGTCACCTATCTATTCCCATTTAGACAATGATGTGAGTGATAATTCTGGAGAACGTATTTTTTTGTGTCTTCAGCAGTAGAATAGTAATTGTAAAGAGTACGACATAAAATTTGTATGTTGATTTACATTTTAATATAGGTCAGGTTAAGATTATTAGTTTCTGAGTTAGTATCTAAATTTTCAGTAATAAGCTGTGAATTAATATGAGACTCATATCATAGCAGTAAATGACTAAGTTTGGAAACTGTATTGTAATTTCGAATATGTGGGTCTAGGTTCAAATTTGAGATTGACAGCTATATATATTGTTGTTGTGTCAGTCTAGCAATGAAAGTCAAGAAGTTCCCTTTTGCCCGTTAACATTTTTCGGAGTTATTCATCGCATCTTTGAGTATTGGGATGCTGAGTAACAGGAAGTAAATTTAACATTTTAGCTGATTTGGCGTTAGTCTAATATCAAATGTGGAAATATTAGCTGGATCATATATAGATAACAATATATATCACTCTGAGTGCTGGATTGCCAAAAAGTGAAGGTAGCACTTGAAGTCAATTTCAAGTTGCTCTCAACTGAGAAGCGGGGAGTGCTATCTATTGTTGCTATTAGCTCCTTTTCGTTTAGTGAAGGTAAAAGGGAATGGTAGCAATCTATGGTTAATTCAATAGAGTTGATAAAGAGACGAGGCACTTCTTGCGAAACTTCCAGAGACATACTAACCACGTGTTGCAACAAAGTTCATAACCTAAAAAAACCATAGTGAACTCAACTCCTAGTTGCCATCTAGAAGTAGACAACTGGTTTCATCAATTTTGCTTTTTGCAGGTTATCCGTTACTTATTCTTCGCACTGAAAGAAGCTTTTGGTGTAACGCCTCCAATGCTACTCTGGATCAGGTCTGTATTTAAGATTCGAAAAAAACGTCCTTCCTTCGCCCTCTCTAAATTCCCATGAAATATGACCCTCTTTTAGTTGACTCGTGTTCCCTCGTTGCTTGCCCCATGCCAGAGCTGACAGCCAGTCACTCATGACAATTGGAGCTAGCAATAGATCCACAAGCATAACCTTCTCCGTTGACCCTCGAACTTTCTTCGTTGTTCATCCGAACAATGTCTACCAGGCTACTAATGAATATCACAATCGTTTTCCAGGTATAGCACCTTCTTCATTCTGTACCCAACGGGTATCTTCAGTGAAGCAGGCCTGATCTATGTGGCTCTGCCATTCATGAAAGTAAGTCTCAGTACTTCGAGGAATCTGTTCATAGTTGTCCATAGATCCGAATTTTGTACAGGAATGGACTACTGCTGCTCTGGCTTTTCTGTGCGGTGAAATCTCTTTTATGTAGAATGCGAGTAAAACTCATACTTGTCGAGTTGCGTCCCAGGAGCAATGGATGCAAATCTTCCATTTAGAGCTCATTCTCTTCTTTGATTTTGTCATGTCTTGTACTCGTCTTGCACCTTCGCTCCACTGTCGCCTGGGCCTCGTGTTCAAAACTATAACAGCCGGCTCTAATTCCTCATGTGAGCAGGTTTCAGATCTCTACTGCTTGCGCATGCCAAATGTTATGAACTACGCATTCGACTTCTATTGCGCAGCTATTCTCATCCTTGGACTCTACGTACCAGGTACATCTACACTAGAAATTGACATTTTATCTGAAAATCTAGAGGCCCATGAAACCTAGTCGACATGAAACCTAGATTCGCAAGTAGACTTACTCATATACAGGCCATCACGAGTGTGTTGACTAACCTGATTCGTTGCTATTGGTGCAGGGGGTCCTTACATGTACACATACATGATCGGGCAAAGAAAGAAGGCTTTAGGAAAACAGAAAACTCAGTGAAGCCGCTGTTTTAGATCAGGAGTTGGCTTTCAAACCTGTAACAGCAAAGTTACATGCGAATAGCAGAACGTTGCAGACTTAGAATTTGTTCCCAGGAGAACAAAGAGGAAATCAAAGATGGAAATTTCAGTTGTACGTTTTTCCCATACCGTGGACAATCAGTCCCAAGAGTCGATCGAATGCGTTTCCCATTTAATGGATTCATCACACCAGATACCCAACCAATGCAACTGACTCGAGATTTGGCAGCTGTACATTCAAGTTTAGTAGTTGAAGTGTTTGTACAAGTTTGAATCCAGGCAGAAAGCTCTGCGAAGATCTGCTGGTGTTTTCAATTTCACTCAAGCTTGTGGATGCCAGATGGAATTACTTCATGACGGTAACAGAGCCGTCTTTGCGTTGGAAACTGATCCACACTTACCTGACTACATGTTCGTACACTTCCACTCAACAGAAGATGTGTCCTTCCTACTTCAAGCCCTACTCATAAAAGAAAATGTTCAAATGTCAAGTCTATCTAGCTCTACACAGATTGCATCTTTCTGTTTCTCCAGAGTGAAACCAACGCCTCAATGTCAGAACGATGACTCTTACATGTAACTAGCGGATGTCTTCTGTAATCTATTCTTTGAGAATCCTTTCTTTCAGAACCCATTGCTTTTTACATCGACTTCCATTTTTCTTTCGAATCGACGGGAGTAGTCATGATTCGGTCCAGTCATTCACCGTTACCTTTCTGTGTCATCACATTTCTCCGAGAGGCATTGTAAATAAGCCCTAGCCACCTCATCTAATGTCTTCAACCACAACACAGTTCATCATGAGATGTCTACGGCCTTTTGAGACTTCTTTCCTTCTCCGCACTCTGCTTACCCATTCGCCACCACTTCAGTCGATTGCTTGATCGTCTCGTTTGGTCCTTCCCTTAAGCATTTCAGTCCACCACATGGATCAAGTCCACGCATCAGTACTCCTCGGGTTTCCATCCGTAATTGTACCTGACATCCATCTTATCAAATCCATCAGAACTTGTAACACTACATTCTTAAATTTTTGTGATAAGTGGAGGATTGAAGATATTCGCTCCCCATTCCCCTTGGTCGCTTCCGACTTCGCAGCCGCAGTTTTTAGCTCCCAACCTCCTTCAACTTCCTCGTCTTCGTCGTTGATCTATGAGCACCTCAACATTGAAGCTGAAGTATCTCAAAACTACTTTCATATTGCCTACTAAACATGCATCTTGCATATATCTACATAGACGGTTCTATCTGGTCTAGAGAAATAACTCAAAGTAAATATTTGATTTCCAGCCTGAAATCATTAAGGATCAAATTAATTCGCAAACAAGGTTGTAATTTTACTCTCTCTCAAATCAAATCATAGGGTCTCATCGTGGTTCTCGCCAAACCTTCCCATTCAATCCTCTATCCTTCTCATCCTTGCAATCTTGACCTATTGCTGTTTGCCACAAGATAATATCCTGCCAATTGGATTCAGTGTTTTTTTCGCTCATATAATTACCTTTTGTAGGATTCTAGGCATATTATAACACCAACACCATGCCAAGAACGCTGGACAATGTTTTTAATACTGCATGCCAAGGAGATGGTTTCGGCAGTCTTTTTTACCACTGTCAATTCTTCCGTGATCCAACCCTGCCGAGGCACGAGCTGTCTCAATATGTCAGTTGGTGTGTTCTGGTGAGGAGTCGACCGAAACCCTATCCTCACACCCGAATGTGACGTCTTCACAGTCTCAACTCGAAACGCAAATTGCTTGCAATGCACAAACTCCTCGAAGTCCATGTCTCTCCTAACCTCTCCCTTTCTCGTTCTTGTACCTAACACTCACTTACTCCTGCCCATTAGCACCCTCATATTCAGACAGAAGGGCGTCATTCTTCGCCATTCTGTACTAGCAAACTCATTCAAGTTTTATTTGCGCATCTAGCCGGATTCGCATTCACCAGACATTCTTTTGCCCCGAATATCATGCTCTGTTGGTTGGACCAACTGAAGTTTCTATCCGTGGTCCTACAGAACTAGTTCGTTGTTCTGAGTATTTGTTCCTTGAATCAGAGTTTGGGAAAACCCGATCAAATCGTACCGTATAGTCCTTCTCCGACCTTTGCCCAATCTCAGCGACTGCCTTGCAAGATTCGGCTTTTTTTCCGTGCGTTGCTCGAAGGTAGTAGATAGTGTGATCAAATTATTCGGTCAAGATTATTGCATGGTATCATAAGCATTGAACTGCGGTCTAGCATGTAGGTGTACCCGTAATTACAAATGCCTGAAAATTCAGGAAAATCTTCATTGAGAAGTAACGAGCTCTCAGAGTTCAATCCTGCCGTCGAGGGTCTTTCGAACCTGTATGAGAAAGCTCATTCCAAGGTAGGGAGTAAATTACTTGGTGTGATCCGCGAAAACTTAAAACAGTTGATGGGACCCAACAGGTTTCATTTTACACAATGGGATTCCATCGGCGGTACTATAGCCCACCGTCAATGATGTTCCAATATGATGTGGGATTATTTCGGATAAGAAGATGAAGTCCCAAGAATACTTCAAACTCATGGTGCCCGTGGCTTTCTCTGACATGGCTACAAACTCATGGTGTTCGGTACCGGTCGTTTTTGAGCTAATTGATTGGAGACCGATGTTCACTCTGATTCAATCGGATTTTGGAAATGGAGTGCATGGTTAGAAAGCCAGACATCTGGCTTTCTAACCATGCATTCCACTTCCAAAAGCAAGCTAGTCCTTGGTGACCGAAACTCTCGAGTAAGGACACGGACCGATTGAAATTGATTGATGGATTGATAGGAACGAAGATCGAACGGAAGGCTCTATGTACAATTCTTCTTTCGCATCTCGTCTTGTTTAGTGTCTAATCGATGTTCGATGGCTGCACCCGTGTTGTAAGTGATAGGGGAATAAACGAAGGAACCACGGTTGCTCCTGCTCATGATTCCGTCGCTGTTTATAAGAATTTTTATTGGAAGAAGACTAATGGTGTGATGCATGGCCTTCGAGTGAGATCCCATTGGGTAAAATGAAAACCCTTGTGTCCATCAAGTAATTTACTAGAAATGAAAGAATACAGAGCAAAATGTTCAATATGCTAACAAGGAATGTTCCGAGGTAACATGAAATACAAAGTTTAACCTTCCAATAGTGTACCCTAACATAATTGACATCTTTCCTGACATCGAATTAGATTAAAGAACCATTAGATTATAACTAGTAAATCTTATATTAGTGACATCGAATTCGATTAGAGAACCATTAGATTGTAACTTGTAAATTTATCTAATCAGATGAGTCAATATTGGCAATAGTTCCAAGTTCAATTTTGGAATTACAGTTACTATTATCACAAAACAAAGATGTAACAATAATGGCAATACTTCCAAGTTCAATTTTGGAGTTACGGTTACTATTATCACAAAACAAAGATGTAACGTGAGATATGTTTATTTCAACATCTAATTTGAACAGTTTACTTCAACACAGATGGTGTCATCGAATGTTTCACTTGAATTTTTGTGCATGTATCCAATATCAAACGCAATAATAACGTAGACGTTAATATTCGCGAACAATACAGAATGGGAAATGAAGGAGATCTTGCAGCCAAACAACTAAATTTAGAATAAAAATCTAAACAATCATGAACAATTTGAAATGGCGAATGAAGTAGATCTTGCATCCAATGAACTAACTTACAAAATGTTCTAACACGGATGGAACGTCCTATAAGATCGTTGCGCACTCTAGTCTTCTCAGTGACACTTGACAATAGTGACGATCAAGGCAAAGCACTTTACTCTTGTGAGTGACACCTCCCAATAATGGATTCCCATCCTAGCACCAATGTATGTCAATGTTGGGAGGTTAAACTCTGTAACGTAGAAGACGATTTCACAGTATGCGAGCAAGAGGAGAAAAGCAAGATATTTCATACCACTCCTCAGTGCAATATCGAGACTCTTCATGACATTGCTTGATGTATACAATCTCCCTGATCTTTTCCCTGGAAAAAAAATACACCTAATGATCAACCGTAACAATATTTCCTGACTGCATGAGCACTCCCTCCAAGCAAAGTAGAGATGAATCCGTCATGGCAGAAGGTTTGAACCCCATGTTTTCAACAGAGTATACGATACACCGTAATAGTGGATAGATGAAACAATTCTTTTGGGCAAGAAATGTAAAATTTACACACATTGAAAAATAAACACACACCCTGCGAGTGGAATCGTACATAACGTGACAAAGTACCTCGAGCCTCCTTGAGATTGGACAGGTGTTGGTGCTCATAATTCAGCGTGCACAAGTTCTAGCATGGAAAAACAAACTGATGGTAAAGAACCACAAACCGCTATTCCTACTATAGAGGAGAAACACTAGTATAAGGTACAAGATCAGTTGAACATGAATTCAACATATACTCGAAATAATTCAATCCCAACACATGACACCCTTAAAATTGTACAAATGTCAACTCTAGAATTGTACGTTATGTCTTACAGTTGCCACTTGTGTAGTTTTAGAGTTGCAATGTGTAGACTTTACAGTCATCAAAACTCTTATGACTTACTTTCTTTTCTTTATAAGAAGTCTTAACTCTTTTACATTTCAGGATTCCACAACAATTATTGCTTCCACTACTCGCTGAATTCGTGTTGAATTCGTTTTTTTCTTTGTACCATTATTTCTCCTCTACAGGAGGCTAGAGGTTTGTAAATTGTTGCCACCCGTTTAGTTTTCCACAACCCTGTGTATTTTTCTTGTGCGGCTATCTGGACCGTACAAACTGCGTTGTGTTCTCTGTGAAGCATTCCACCCTTTACATAAAAGATTCACCTGAATAGTGGATGGATGAAACAATTCTTTTGGGCAAGAAGTGTAAAATTTGCACATTTTGCTCGATCAGGAAATGCCTGTATGAAAGAAATCATCGGAAATGAACATTTTACAAGAATGAAAAGCCAAGTCAACGGAGTAGATGAGTACAAGATAAAGAGATCGCGAAAATCTCAAGGCCCCGTACTCTGTCAAAGATCTACTACCGCAACATTGGTTGCGTTGACTTCGGCGTTCCTAGTAAGAGTACAGCGTGCAAAGTGGATATATGTTGGTGACTTGGCCTCGCTCATTAAATATACATACGACCTTTGTAAGGCCTTGATGGACAAGTGAAGGTGTTAAGCACCTACAACGTGTCTCAGTGCTCCCTTGAAATAGCAACATTGCCTAGCATAGGCACAAGATGTTCGTTGATACCAGAACACAAAACATGCCTGAAGTGAACGTGTGTATCGATTGTAGATGCTGTGTGCAGAATCAGACAGCACAGTTGCAGATGATAGCTCATTCCTTCTTTCACTGACGGCTACAAACTGCTTTCATGAGTCAACTGCTCTTGCTTTAGACTGAAAGACTGTAGCATTCAAGTCATGCTTCGCCATTATGTGACCATTCGTTGCAGACGGATCTCCTGAAAATTGTGCAGGCGGTGTCATCAGTACAGAGGTGAACAATTAGAAGTATTCAAAGGATCTGGATATGAACAAAACTTTTCGGTATCCTCAACCCGATGCCTATTTATGACCAGGATTCTAAAGCGCAGTAGTATTGACAACGAAGAAATGACGGGTAATGAGGGGATACGAACGGAGAAGTGTTGGAACTTACTTGATTGGACACTTCGATTCCACTCCTTAAGAATCTGCAGCAGGTTGCGTTCAGATCAACATTTGCAGTTGAGAATAGGAAGCCGGATATTAACCAGACAAGAAAATCTACTGAGACTCTCACTCAATGGCACAGATAATTCATTCAGAACAGGGCGAAAGTGGAAAGCATGGTAGCAGAGAGGCAAAGGATCGTCGGACCTCTTTGAAAGAAGTGTAGACAGCGTCTTCGGAGTCGCTTGGCACTGAGAGACCTGCCCTCGCTTGCATGCGCCGTACCAAGGCTCTGTTCTGCACGAGGTTCTTTTTGGCTGTATCTATCAGATCCTGCACCAAAAAAAAACAAGTATATGACAATATTCACTCATCCTCGACACAAGAACGTCATGTTAAAAGAGGCTGTTCAATTGTTAGAATGTTATGAAAAACTATCTGCTTCGGTTATGAACTGCGAATAAGCGGCCATACCTGCTTTGCGGCAAAAAGTTGCTGGCACTCCTTAGAGAGTACTGGAAGCTCCGCTTCCAGCTGCTTGATGCGGTTCACAATATTATAAGGATTTATCTGCAACAAAATCAGGCTGCATTAGTCCATTCATCAATAAAGACGAAGATGTTGCAAAAACAGAATATGGTATTCACATACTTGAAACCTCTGAGTAAAAAGAAACAGCAAATCTCAGCCAAGGAATTGCTCAAGGTCTTACATGTTTAGGATAAGTGGCATCCAATTCCGAGGCCAGAGCGCGCTCCACAAACTGCTTGAACAGGACCACATATCTTCTATCACAAAGATTTCCTTCATTACTCTGATTTCTGGGACGTTGCGAGAATAAAATTCAAGCAAATTGCAAAAAACGTACCTGCAGGTTGGCGATCGCTTTGGCAAAGTGAGATTCAATTGTGTCGACAGCATTCTCCGCTCTCGTTCTATTCATCACTTCTCCGACGTCCATCTTTCCACCTCTTCTTCAAAGCTGAAAGTCAGAGTGTCAATCTCTCTGCTGCAAACAAAATAATGTAATCCGCCTCTCCAGAACATAGGGTTTCCAAGGGCTGATAACGTCAATCATACTACGCACACTTTTGCACTCTTGCTAAAGAAGATGCTCGCTCTCACTCTACACCATTATTTTAGAATCACCGCAAAGCATGTCAACTGCACCTTCATATAATTATGCACTCAATCAAATCCCCGTGTTCAACACACAAAAATTAGAGACCAAATTAAACACTAACTGCTGATCCAAAGCATTTTAAGTATGAGACGAAGAATCTGAATTCACAATCTAAAATGTTCAGTGCAAAACCACACCGCAAAAGACTGATGAGAAAATCCTCTCGAAAAAGTCCTCAAATCCGTCGGATTCCAGGTGCAGAGACAGGAGAAGAAATCATTTTTCTCGATACGTATTCACCAGCTGAGACAACGAATCAGATATTCGATCGCTAACCTTGAAGCGAGTTGGGCATCCGACCATTCGTCCGACGAATGTAGCCAATGACAACCACGTTCTTGCTCGAGAAGCAGCAGCAGAAGGTGTGCGAGAACGAGAGCAGACAGGGAAGAAAGCGTGTAGTTTAAAATCGCGCGTTCGGGTTCTCCCGCCACCTCTCGATGACGTTGCGTAGCGAGCGTTACGCTATTTTGAAAGAGTGCCTGCATTGTCTTCGCGTCCAGTCTTGTGACTCAATACTATTCGTTCCTTGTAGTAAGTTGACGGAAATGTTGACTCTTTGGCGCGAGTACTTGTCCAAACAATGCAAGGGTACGCATGATTCAACTCTTGAGATCAACGACATGCCCCCGTCCCCATCCTGATTTTATTTTATTTTATATCCTGATTTTTTCCCTTACTTACCTTCATCGTTTCTCCTTTGAGTTTGAATCAAGTTGCAATTGCAACTTATTGGAGTCTACTTGGATGAAGTGAATAATGACCATATGGTAATGGTAATAAATCAAGCCCGAAAAAACCCTGAGGGTCAAAAGGCTAAAAAGAATACAAAATATCCAACGACTCTAAACCAAGGGAGTATCCCCCTCATAAGCAGAAAGAGCGGTAGAGCTACAACAGAGAACATCTCTAAAGTAGCAACCTATAGCGTAAGGCTCGAGTTGGAGTAAAAAATAAAAACTCGTTACAACAATCTTATGAGCCGTTCTAATCTCCCTATATTCAGAACAGATAATAAACACATGCTCTTCGTACTCTATATCTCTGCTCTCACATACAGTGCAAAAACGTTCGCTTATTTCAACGTTATGCCATCGTACTTCTTCAATATGTAAGCCGTGAGATACCGTCCTGTGCCGTGCAATAATATGACGTAAGAAAGTAGAAATACTAGCAGATAGATAACCTTGTTGGCAGTAGATAAGCATAGGGTTTACATGGTTCCTGTAGAACTCCATTTTTGTGCCGGATCTGCTCCAAAGAATATTGAGGGTACTTTCTTGCAGATATTGGCGAAGTGCCAATGGTTGCATGTCCCAGTGTCGTTCCTCCACGTTCCATCTTGAGTACCAAGCCCCCACATCTGATAGCCATCCTTCAAGTCGTGTATCTTGTAAAGCTTGACATGGAAGTCGAGAAGGACTAAAAGATCGTACTCGTGCAACGTAGTTGATCGTCAGATAGAGAGCTTCAACCTCTACGGGAAGGAAACCTGTTTTGCCATTAGAATGGCATATGGGGTTTGATTTTTCACCCCAAGTTCTTCTTGCAAGAATATCTTCTTAATTCTCTCCAGGAGTTCCCAAACTGTCTTTTTGCAACCAGGTCTCCATACTTGGATGCACTAAAGTTTTAAATAAAAACTTCCGAAGTTTCCAAGATACAAGATGAGCTCTCCTACATCTATTTAAAAATGAATAAAGAGCTTTGTAACCCGCTTCTACTCTCTTTTGCACACAATGTGACCAGCTATAGTCATGAGAAAAATCAATGCCTAAATATTTTTAGACCTTCACTTGTTCTAACTCTAGTTCTTTGTAACAAAAAGAAAAATCAGATCTAGTACCAACTATGATAATTTTTGATTTCTCCAAGTTGATCTCCATCTCATTCTCGGTACAGAAGTTTGCTAATGTGTTCAAATGTTTTTGTAAAGTAGTAGCATCACGTGCTAATAAGACAATATCATCTGCATACAATAACGCTTTGATAGTAGAGTTTCCTATCTTAACGGCTTCACTGTCATTTTCGTCTAACCACCTTTCTATGCCATCTATGAAAATTCCAAATAAGGTTGGAGAGAGAGTACAACCTTGAATGACTCCGATAGTACTCAGAATTTCTCTTGGTTGAGAGGTGTTGATTTTGGCCTGAACTGAATTGTATAACGTGGTCACTACTCCCAGAATGTCACATGGAACTCCAATGTTATGTAACCTTTCCCACAAAAGCATCATAAACACCGTGTCAAACGCTTTTTTGAAATCAATGAAGGCACAAAATAGAGCTTTAGCGTTGCCTTTAGATTTTTCCCACAATACACGCAGAACCAGAACATGGTCGACAGCGCTGTATGTTGGGCGGAAACCTGCTTGAAGTCGTGATCTTTTCTGGAAACTCTCTGTCCAAGTATTTAACTTCGATTCCAACAACTTCCCAAACACCTTTGCAAAAACAATTCCCACCATGATGGTTCGGTAGTTCGTCGCCACGTCTTTCCTTCCGGATTTATGAATAGGGATAATCTTCCGTAATGACCAAGATTGTGGAAAACCGTAAACAGAAGCATCTTCTAAAGCTTTGGTAAGGAATGGTAGAATATTGTCTCCTCCCCACTTGAGAAGCTCAACGGACAAGCCATCCAAATCTTCACATTTGCCGTTCGCTACAGATCTAAGTACGGTCTTCACCTACTCTTTAGAGAACAGACTAAGTGCTACTTCGCATTTTGGCATAGATCTAGCTTCTGGAAAGAAATAAAGCTTTTCAGCAAAAGCTAACAAAGATTCTTGATCTAAAGAGGGTGTTGCAACTAGTATCGCTAATCTTCTCTAGAAAGACTCAGGATCTTGCATAAGCTCTATAGTCAGAGATTCTTGTTTTCGTCTCAAGAAAGCTCTTTTCTTGGACTTCACCATCTGTTTGTACACCCTTGTAAAGAGAAGCCGGGCTTGAGATTCCAAAGATCTGTCTATTGCTCTTGTCCTCGCTAGTTTGCAATCAGAGTCGAACCACCCCTTACAAGGTAATCCTCCAGTCTTTCTATTGTTGTGTCGTAGAAAGAACTTAAACGTAGAGTTTTTGAGTAGTTCTACGAATTGTAAACTAGCTGCATGTGTATCTTGGCTCCATTCAGTGTGTTTAAGAAGGTCTTGTAAATGTGTAGCATAAAGATACTTCTTAGAATGTAGTAGGTGGAAGGTGGGGAAAGAGTGAACATGTTTGTTGATTGGAGGAATAATATTTTTTGATATTGATAAAGTAAATATGAGAGGTTGGGAAAACGGGAGATGCCATTAAGGACTTTAAGATTACAGGTGGCTCCAAAGACTAGAAAATGTTCTGTCAAAGAGTTGGATGAAGGATTGAAAGAGACTCTAGACCATTGACTATCATTTATTCTTTCCAAAGGTGAAGAGGTAAGAGACGTACAAAATTGGGTGAACTGGGTATAACGTATGCGAGCATTTAAGTCCCCCGCTAGAAAGACATCTCCTTTACTCTAATATTTGAGTACATCATTAATGAGTCTATGAAATGATTGGCTACGGTTGCACAAATGTGTAGAGTAGATTGGCATGGCTAATGGCGCAAAGTAAAAGATTGCTAGATAGTAATGATATACTTCAAGCATAAGACGTAACCAATGGTATTGAACTCCAATATCTCGAGCTTCCAAATGAATGACAGGTAGAAGTTTGGATCAAATAAAAGTTGCAATACCTCCATGTTCTCTCCTCGCGTGTTGTATTCTCTGGTTCCATGTTGACCCCACCAAAGTAAATCCTTGCAGTTTAGCTATGGTGTTGCTTTCGTGTTCTCAAGTCCCCACGATGTTGATGATGTCTCCCATCTCCCAGATTGGATCGGCACTCACGTACTTTAAAGGTGACAATCTTCGGATATTCCACACCAACATCCTCAACTCCTTGAGTTGCTATGTAGACAACTCTCTTCTCTTTTGTGTGACTATCGCTCTTCCATCACGTAAATAAGCAACAAATTCTAACAATTGAGCCTCCTTGACCTTCTCGAGTTCTTTACTTCTAGCTTCTACTTGCAAATGCGTAAGGTCGGGATCCAACCATATTCTCTCTCCTTTGAGGATAGATTTGTTTGCCATGGCAGTGTCTCTTTGAGACTGGTTGACAAACTTGGCTATGATGGCCCGTGAATTTGTGCTAGTTTTTCCAATCCGAAAAGCCTGAACTAGATCTGGAGTGTGAACATGTAGTGTGTCAACTAAAAATTTAGTGACAACACTCTTCACATCTTCGTCTTCTGCTTTTGGTAAACCAGATATCATAACATTATTTCTACGGAAATATCGGTTTGCACTTTCTACCTCTTGTTCTTGGCAGAATGAAATATGCGCAACCCTAGTGGCCTCTGCATATGATTTGAGTTTCAAATCTAGAGTGGCTACTACTTCGTATAAACCTGGACTGCTAGTAACAGTAGCTAGTGACGTGGTTTTAGTCTGAACATCAATGAGGGTTTCGGAAATGTGAAGGTTTACCTAGAGTTCTCCTGAAATTCCAATCTCATCGCTTCCTGTGAAGCTTTCAACTACCGTATCTAAGTGTGAGCAAGAGTGAGTTGTACTGTTTGTACCTTAAATTCTTGACAAAGGTCGTTCAAGATGGTTTGAACCAGCTTGAGGATTTCCTTCTGAGACGCCATCGTCATTGTCTTCTCCTTTCCGCACGCAGATTCCGAAGAAACAGTACGACGGGAGCTTAAAGAAAACGCGTAATTTGGTTTTTCTGTCTCCTCCTTTCCATTCGTAAATTCCCAAGAAACAGCACGTCAAGAAACCACACCACCTGTCTATGGTATCGACTTATCGAAATGTGTTCTACTGGTTATGAAGTTTGCTTTGCAGAACTGCGTCACTCCATCCCTTGCTAAGAATTTCAAAAGCTATATCAAATTCACTTCCCGTCGATCTTCGCGAAAAAACTTTATCAAATTCACTACTTGTTGATCTTGATTTCCCTCCCTGTGGCGATGCAGCAACGCCTTCTCTTACAACCTCGTATAAGCTCCAGAAAACCTATTAACCTATGTCGATGTATGCTTCCTCTGTCACTCCTATGCTCTGAAAGCATACGACGAGAAAGAAGGAAGTAACCAAGTTTCTAATCCACATGACCCTCCGCTCCACCTTGATATTGATTGTAGCTTTCGCATCAATCAATCCCTAAAGCCGAATCAAAATCGAATATAAAGTTGTGTTATATGTGCGCATCGCGCTACAAAACTTTTCGCGACACCCTTCTCCGAGCTCATCTAATGGTTTTTCAATTGATGGTTTTGCACATCTTCCTCCTCACGGCGCTCCTTCACTCGCTCGCTTTTCGCTCCCATTATATTAACTTTCCTTTCACAAACAAACAGGACACAAGGAGATTGAAGTGTGGGCCACTTGCCAAGAGTAGCACACGGGAAGCGTATCGAAGATGACAAGTTTTCTCTACCGTCCTCTAGTCGTCAAACAAAAAACTGTTGGTGGTAAGTACACTT